CAACTCTCTGAGGAACTAGATGCTTGGAGAGCTTGTAGCCAATCATTAAACAAGTAGGTGTATGGTACTTTATTTAACATGGTGTGAATTTATGACATTATGCTTTGTGAAAAAAATTGCATGGCATTTTTAGAATATTATTTTTCAATTGTGAAACTTTATGTTTATTCTTACAAACACTAGCATGCCTACATTTTATAGGTCTTCTGATGAATTACTACAGATACCACCATCTGAATTGCAACAACAGATTTATGCAACAATGCTATCACGAATTAAAGAAGAGCCTCTTCAAGTAACCATAGGAACTAATTATGTTTCTGGATCTAACCTTCCTGGTCATTCAGATGTGCATATCTCTTGTTTGACAGGATTAAGAATACAGGTATTGGAACAGAACTGGAGTACTTTGTGTAAGAACTTAGTATCAGTATTTCTGGTTATGTCCAATCGTAACACAAATGGAAAGCTGCTTACCCTCTGATGCTTCCCCAGCCCGTGGTGGTGCAGTGGTTAGAATGCAGTACTGCAGGCTACTTCTGCTGACTGCCGACTGCCAGCAATTTGGCAGTTCGATTCAGCCTTCTATCCTTCCCAGTCAGTAAAATGAAGACTCAGATTATTGGGAGCAATATGCTGACTTTGTAAATCGCTTAAAGAGGGCTGTAAAGCACTATCAAACGGTATATAAGTCTAGTGCTATTGCTATATTCTTCCAATTGAAGTTTTTGAATCTCCTGCAAGGATAGTATCCAAGATAGCATTATTTTAGTACCTGGAGGCAGTTGGGTCTAAATGAGGAAGAACAGGCTAAAACACAACTGTTCATCCAGGCTGTGCATGGATGAATCATTTGATTTCAGGAATTTAGCAGCTTTGGTTCTTGGCGGAGTTATATTTCTTCAGACAAATCTGATATGCAGTTTGGATTTATTTATTTATTTATTTTGAGGAGCAGGCGGCAGTTGTGGACTGGAAACCCCTTGTTTGCATTTCTACCTTTTCCTGGGAGGCTTTACTTAGTCACTCACACCTTAGTCACCTTGCATATGGACCACTGCAATGTATTCTGAGTAGAGCTGCCTTGGAGGCCACTCGGAAGGTATAGTTGGTCAAAAATATGTTGGGATGAGCAATGAGATGTGTACCTTATTATGCCCATGTAACATCTCTGATGTATGAATTGTAGTGGTTATCTGTGACTTTTGATCAGAATTCAAAGTGCTCGTTGGCATCTATTAAGCTTTACCTGATTTTTGTAGGACTTCTTGTCTCCAATTGTACTTCCTTCTCTGATAAATTCTGAAGTTCAGTATTCTTCAGGTTCCAACTGTTAAAAAATGTGGGAGCTAAGAAATGCATCTTCTCTGTCCTTGCCATTGCAATATTTCCCCTTAAATCTATATGAGTCTTGTCAGTTGCCTACCTGCTTCAAACATTACAGGTAATTGTTATAAGATTTTCTTGAAAAAGATGAGGAATTATCCTAGAAGGGGAAACCTCTATATTTGAGGGTAATTGTTATTAGAAGAATAAGATGCAGTAGAAATCTCTTACTTGATTTCAGGAAACAAGTATCTGTTATATATGTTAGCATAAATGATCATGTCTCTAGGCATGAACAATAAATTATTTAATATCTAAACTTTTTTTGCTTTAATAATTATTTCTTCTAAACTTGTAAAATATTTTTATTTTTAAAGTTGTAAGTATATATGCATTTTTAATACAAAAAGTATAATTTGTTTATGTCTTATTTTATAGGGTCCTGTATTTTTCCTTGAAGATGGAAAGTCAACAATTTCACTAAACGATGCTTTGATGTGGGCAAAAGTGAATCCTTTCTCTCCACTGGGAACAGGAATACGGCTCAACCCATTCTGATAAAAAAATCTTTCTATTAATAATGATAGTTGCTTTTATTTTATTAGTGGAAAGATTTGAGGTTGACACTTGCTTGAACAGTTTTATAAACTTTGTGAATTATAAATTTAATTTTTATATTAAAATTGATAACCCAAAGAGAATTTCATATATCATTGGCAACCACAGGCTTTTAGAAGAAGATTGAAATTAGGTATCTGTGAACACTCTTGTGAAGCACATTGCTGGGTCATACAATAGCTATTTCTGCTTTGAATTATTCCTTAGAGGACACATGCATCCTATTTTAAATAAAGTTTGTGTGTTTGTCTCCTCCTAGTGGAAATTAAGGGCATAGCCTAACAAGTACTGTTTTGGAAAAAAAGATCCATTAAAACAAGTAGAAATTTTGCAGCTGTGATGCATGATGGATTGTATTTTCATATTTATAATAAATTATTAATGTGTGTAAATTTAATAGTTGTATAGTAAATTGGTTAGCAGGTATTTTGGAATACTTAGCTTATGCTCAGCATAAGAATGTTTTTAGAATATATTTTGAATATCTGGATTTGCATTTGACATTCTTTATTTTAAATGATTAAGCATATTTCTAAAATTTATTTTCCAATAGATCTCTTTTAAGTAAACTATTGATTGTATCAAAATACACTATGTAAATTTACAAGGAATGAACTCTTTTCATTTTAGTGTTTGTAAACATATGGCATTTAAAGTTCCAGCATCTAAATAAATTAGGTTTGTTTTAAATAAAAGTTTTTTTCTGAACATATGTAATCAAGTTTCAGTTTATTACCACTACCTTTTCTTTAGGTTACAACTTCTACATGTCCTATGTGGTCAGGATATTGGGAGGGAGAGTGCACTTGACCAAAAGCGTTCTGGCTGTGAAGGTGAAACACGATCTCTGCTAAAATCAGTTGCTTTTCCATAGTGGATGTGTGTGAAATTGAATACTGAAAGATACCTAACAGCAAGTAGATAAATGTGCTTTTTTACACATTGGATGTGTTTCTTTTCAGCTTCTGTGTTGACACACACAGAAAGCTTTAACTTTTACACATTGAAAAATGTGTTCATGTATGTTCAGATACCAAAAAGACTGGTTCAAGAACCAGCAATAACTAGTTATAGATAAAAATTTCTTTCGTTCTAGATTTTACTTAGCAAGGCTAATACCTCTGCTTTTCATCAGCATTCCCTAGAAAGATGTATTACAGTAATAATATGCAATGGTTATTTTGCTTTGTTATGTGTTCAGATCATTAAACTTTTCATTCAACAAGCCCTGCTTCTTGCTATCTACATCTTTTTTTTCTACCTTTGATTTTATTTTGTCCTTTTGTTTCTAGAATTTCCTTTGTAGAAACTTAAGACCAATCTCTACAAAACAGTTTAATTGAATTTCTAGTTTTAGTTAAGATAAGGGGACCATTAAAACATATTACAAGAATAAATCAATAGTTTGTAATTTTACTTTTTTCAATTTAGATCTTTAACTTTTTGTAAAGTATGATTCGGTTTTATATACAGACAGCTAGTTTAGTGTTGTGGTTAAGGTGCTGGCCTAGAAACCAGGAGATGTGAGTTCTACTCCTGTTTTAGGCATGAAAGCTAGCTGAGTGACTTTAGGTCAGTCAGTCACTCTCAGCCCAACTTACCTACAAAATTGTTGTGAGGAAAATAGGAGGAGGAAGGACTGTTATGTATGTTCACTGCCTTGAATTACTTATAAAGTAATTATGGCAGAATAAATATTTAATAAATAAAGTATTATTTATTGTTCAATTATATTGGTTGATTCTGGTCTATATTTATAACTTGTCTAGCAAGGAAAGAGCTACTTCTATTTATGAAAGGTCTGAGATCCAAAAATTAATTTTACATGGTTCTATAGGATCCCCCACCTCTCCCAAACAATAAACATTTTCTTATAGTGTGAAGGAAAAATAATGATAGTCAGATCTTATAATGAATCTTCCTCCTTATACCAATTCTTCTATGGAAAAAAAAAAAAGATATCCTATAAACTTGAGTTCTCTTGTAAGTAGATATGAAAGATTTACAATCCCTGAAATGGAATTAGCTACTACTTGTTCTTTCTCATATTTTCAGCAATAAATCAGTATACATATAACATCATGAAATGTATATGTTTCAGATTTGGGACTAATTTTCTTCCTCTTTTTTTCTTCCTTTCCAAGACTTTAAAAGTGTTTCAGAGCATTTAGAAACTGAATAGCAGACAGAAAATGTGAGCATTCTGTTTCCTGATCAACAGATTTGAACTGACAGCACATAGGTGTCTATTAAATTATGAAATGGACAGTTTCCCCACAAATTTACACATGCATTAGCAAGAAACACAGGCTTCTTGTTAATGCATATGTAAATTTGCTAGCCTCTAATTGCTTAACAAGTTTTCTCATTTCAGTCTTTTCATTTGGAGGCATTATATAAAACTATTATGTGTATTATATGAAGTAAATCATAAGATTTCCATGATATCATAATCTAGATGTAGTAAGTCTTGTGTTAGGAATTTAAGAATTATATTGCCTACTCTCCCAGTTTTCAGATATCCTCTACTGTAGGAAATTGAGTTGTGAAGAATCATTTTCTACAATAGATAAAGGATAATAATAGCAATAAATATCAGTCCCTCACTAACAAGAAGATGGTTTGGATTTTAAAAAAAGCTTAGCCTAGCTTTTTTCTTGCATTTTTTCTTGTGTTCCTACTGCTTTTCAGTCTCATAACTGTAAGAAAGAGGTGCTTTCCCAGTCAAGGCCTCATTAAAACTCTTCTGTTCTCCCTACTGCAAGTGGGAGAAAACACAGTCTTCAGGTCATTCTCTAGCCCATTCAATCTAACATTTCCATTGGTGGATTAATGTTGTACACTAATGTAACATACAAAAAAGAGTTTTAATTTGACTGGTTCTGAAGTTCTGAAAGATACATTCTAAGAAGCTTCCTTGGTTGATGAGAATTTTTTAACATGATCCATTGATTTCCATCAATTTATAAGTGTACTCTAGAGCATATGTTTACCTACCGGTATATTGAACATTTTACATTGTTTCTAAATGATTAAGAAAACACGTGACAATGAGATTGGAGCTGATTCATTTTATTAAAATTATATTGATTTAAGATTTCTAGGTTCTGCATGACTGTATAATAAAAATTTACATTATAGCATGACAAGGAGGTAAACTTCCAGTAATGGAATGGATAAAATGATTTTGATTTATTGCATTTTCTTCTGCCTGTGTAAATACCATGTTAACAATATGTCTTTGATGTCAGTATTAATTCTTTACTGGCTTATCTGTAAGGTTCATGTTTCTCAAAATAGGACTCATATTTGATTATAAATCTTCTTTTGTATTTCTGAATTTCTTCTCTGTAGTTCTTTAAAATGTGTACCTGAAACTTCAGTATTCATGTTCACATCAAATGCGAATTTCTCAGGCTGTTTCACTTGAATAGTTTTGAAATGAACATCTGTTTTACCTCTGATTTGTGTGGATGGTACACCTAAGGGGGTGGGAAAAATTTCAAGCACACAATTTCATTTATAACACAAAAAAATTGTTTTAGCTTCTAAAACATTTTTTAGAAATGTGAGTTATTAAAATTGTTAAGATTCCTCTACCTGTGAATATTTGAGAAAATTAAATACTTAGGGACAAATTTTCAGCAATATATCAGTTTCCAATTATTATCAATTCAATCCATGTAAACTCAAAAATAGCTCATTGAAATATGCTAAATATTGTTTAAAAATGAAAATGTAGGACATAATTTCAATAAATACATTCAGGTACAATTCACTCTAAGAACATTAGCAGGAGAGAATATAAAATGCAGCAAAATATTAATTTAAAAACTGTCAGAAAACTAAGTTTCCATTTCAACCAAGATTATTCCTGATTACTAATCAGTCCTAACAATCTAATTGCTGGTAAGACTGGGCAAACAATCTGATCTAAGAAGTGAGTGCAACCTACTCTACTATGCATAATGATAAATAGATATTAAGCATTAATTAGGAAAAGATTAGAGAACAAGAAGCAAATAGGAGTTCTATTTCCCTTGACTTTCAGTAAAGGATGAAAGGGAATGAATATTTGCTCATAAATTCCCTAGGAATCTCTTTTCCAACCTCCAAATGGTGCCATTTACTATCAATTGCTGGTGTCCAAGAATAAATAAATTTACAGGCAAGAATAAGCATTAGCTGCTCTTCTCTCTCCATCATCTGAAACTGGCATGGAGCAGTTGCCTAGTCCAAGTGAACACAAGATCTGTCTGCTAATCCACAGATTTATATCCACACAGCTCATACTGAAAAAGCAATTACTTCTTCCTCTTATTGAAACTATCCTTCAAGGGGACACAACTAGTGGAAGTAACCCTTTTTATGTTTCATAAGAATGCACAAGGGGCAACATGAAAGAGAAAACAGTAATTGCTTTGTCTCCTGATTATATCTCCTGACATGAAACAAATAGGTTCAACCTGTAGGGTTGCCTGAAATGATATTCAGAAGACAATTCTGACATTTCACCCAACCTCCCTTTCCTTTTCTCCCAGATAATACAAATTATAGTGGCAGTTATGGAAGGTGCAGCTATATTTTTCTTTTCTTCGGCTAGAAAAGAAAGAGATGAACTCAAAGAGGTTGCAGATGTTTTTTGCGGTAACAGCCATTGTCTCAAAATAATTGTTTAACTTTTCTCTCAGAAACAAAATTGGAAGAAGTAGCAATACATATGTTTACATCTTGTCATATGCAACAAGGAAGACTATGATTTATAGGGAAGAGAGAAAAAGTGTCCAAGCAAAAAGAGGGCTTATCACATTCCAGCTAATTATTCTTCTTTCACTGAATGGCTTGGTCGATGAGATATTGAGAGAATAAAAAAGGCTGATTTTCAAAAGAATAAGTCTTACTAATAGGCCCATTATTGTAGGTAACTTGAGACCCATATCTGCCTTCCAACAAGTCAGAGACAGTTTAAGATTCTTTAATGAGAACCATCTTTTCTGCTCCACCTATAGGATATGCATAGATATAAGTGTGGGCAGATTATCAGTTATGCAAACTCACACTTCAGGAGGCATTATGGAGTCAACACTCCCTACTTTGAGTTTGATGCCGACAGAGGATGAATAACATAGGGGCAATAGTGGAACTCACTCTTCCTCAGCTTTCAATATTGCTCCAAGAAAAAGGCTCAGAAGAGACAATATGGGGAAAATAAATGTGTAGACATTTCCTAAATGGCTATCAGGGAAAAAAAAGATAAAAAGCAACTAATTGTAAATTAAATAAAAATATGAAAGAAGAAATATTACACAGTAGGAAAATAAACATTCTAGAAAGGAAAAAAGGGTATGATAAGTATAGAATGAAAAAAGATGGATAAATCAGAGACTGGTATAGAGAAGGAAAGACACAATTAAGAAATGGAGAACTGAATTATACAAACAAAAAACAAACAAAAAACCCCAAAACAAAAAGTGGAGTATATTCTGCTCAAAGTTTTGTTACATTGTTAACAGAAGTTACAATTCAGTTAAATGCCTAAAAGGAAAAAAGGCATATTCTTGAATCAAACCATGTATATTCAGTCATAACTATTTAAATAGAACTTATCCCTAAACAAGTATTTCTTAAGTTTATCTAATCCATTTGAATAGAACTGTAACCTTTGACTTTCAGATTGGAAAAAGAATGCTTACTATTTGGCACAGGAACAGATTTTTCCTTTGGAAGATTAGTTGTACCGAACGAACGAGCCAAAATAGAAGAGTGATCAATGGCACGTTGTCCCAGTGTTGGTTTAATACCAAACCGTGCTATAAATCAACAGAGTCATTTATCTTAAGCAACAAGTATGTTATTACATATGCCAGCTACATTGTATAAAATTTATATTTCTAAACCACCCATCTCCCTCATAAATTATTAAATTCTATTTATGATTATTAAAGAAAATGTTTCATTAATGAGACAACTGAAAAGGATATAGTTGGAGATTATGCAGACATTGATATTCTTAGAGCTCTATAAATCTATTCAAATTTAAAAATAAAGCAAGTCTACAGTATATACACAGTGACAATATTTTTAGTTAAGATCTGCTCTTTTTAATGCATGAAGATAGATAACAACACTAATTGCAAAATAATCAAACAGTTAACAATAAAATGAGATGACAAAGAAATCCAACAATGTAAATAAATATTCAACTAATTAATATTAAATATTTTCCATTACAAAGGTGGGCCTTCTCACAACAAAAGTAACAAACTAGAAAACCCATGCTCTGTTGTGTCATGGTTTCAGAAATATTTCATTATCTAAACTGAAAAACAGAATGATCACAGATTTCCCAAAAAATAAGAGAAGGAGTGACTTCTAACTTCCCCACTGATTTTCTTTGTGGGTAGCTGACAGAGAGCATTGGAAATCTTCCTTCTGTCCCATTCCTCCCTTCCCTTGCCAGGAAGCTGGTAAGTGGCTGCTGCCAGGTAAGGTTGGAGCAAGGGAGTGCATGAGTGGTCAGTGTGCCACAGGCTCAAAGGGACTGGTGGTGTATGCATCATTTCTCTTGACTTTCTTCCCTGCAAGCTTCCCATAAGCAAAAACTTTGCTAATTGGAAGATGGCAAGAAGCATCATATCGGTTCCTTCCCAGTTCTCACTGCCATCAGGAAATCATCAAAATCATGTGACCACAGCCAAGTGCAGCAGCACAGTGTTAGAGCTGAACCAGGAAAAATATCCCCAAATTTTATTCCCTCGAGACTAATGGGTCCCAGTGTTCTATAAATTGGCCTATTTGAGGTACCTTTCTTGAAAATATTTTGCCTTATGTAGCGTTTCAAAAAATGGAAGCTTACTAAGTTTCAAACAGACACAAGTATATATAGATGAAAAGCAAACTGGATCTCCTGCAGCAGGTAGCCCTGTAACTCTCTTTCTGAGTTCTTATCAAATTGATTCTGGATAAAGTACAAGCCATGGAAAGTCCTTTTAAGGTGAGTTTGAAAAGTGCAGCTAACTTTATTGGTTTTTTAAAATACATGTATTCCTATTAAGTTATGCAAACAGGGAAATATCCTTATGTTATTCAAAAAGATGTTCTGAGAAAGATACTTACATGGATGTTGTTCCCTCTCCATTAACCTTCGCTGCCTATGTATATCAAGGATAGCATTTACTTTCTGTTTATTTTTATAAATATCAGGTTCTGCCATCATTTCTGACATAGTGATATTGTTTTTAATAGCCCTTGAAGCAGTTGATCTAGCAACCAGTGGTAAATTGTCCTGATAAATACGATCAGTAAAATCAATCTCTTCATCTTGAATATGTTTTATACTACAAGAGAAAAAGAAAGCATATTACAGTTTCTTTCACTAATCAAGCAATAAGGCAATGCTGAGCTGCCTGTGTGCTTATATGTATATTCTTAAACTGAAACTTCCTCAAATTAACTTGAAATTCTATAGATTCACAAATCAATGACTACATTTATTTGATTTTTTTTTACCATCTAATTTAGATTTTCCTGGGAAAAATTATAGTAGTGGATTGTGAGCCTAAAGGCAGTAATTATCTTGTCTTCTGTTACTTAATGCTAACATTTAGGTATTAACATACAACTTTCAAATATAGCATTGAAGAAACATACCGACTGTCTGTCAGCATTGTATAAATATCTTGTACAAATATTTCTGCAGCTCCTGGTTTACAATGAATTGTCCCATCTATTAACTCTCGTATAGGCTTCAGATTTCTTTTTGTAAAAAACTTTAACAAAGAGAAAAAAAATACATGAATTCATTTTCTTATCCTCAGTTATTTATCAGAAAGGGATAAACAATTGCCATCAGTGTAGACTACGATGCCTGACATCTATGTAACAGAACTGGAAAGATACAACTATTAAAAATATAAATATGTAGTATTTCCCTGGAGTCGCTACAATTGCCATTATTATATTCCACTTGAAAAACAATAGCATAAATTATTTGTCTATGACTACTGACTGTATGCTGTTTAATTGCCAATAGTCTAAAGAAGAAATAAGAAGCCCTCATTTTATTGTAACTTTTAAAATACATTAAATTTTATAGAAGATTCAAAATTGCATTTATTATTCACCTTTTCAAGCAGTGCCCAGTTACTGAGTTTGACACTTAGGGAGGTTCCATTGACAAAGGAATGCATATGAATGTCTTCTGCGAAGTACCGAGAGAATATCTCAGCAATAAGGTAGCCATTTGAAAAATCCCTATTCGAAATAAAATTTAAAAATTGAATGAAAGACTAACTTTTGTAGGATTTGTCTTAATTTAATTATGTCATTCTCTAGCTGTACATTCTTACTTAAGGATGGTTGTTTTGGGTGACTTGTTCGATTTTTATACTTAGTTATACTTCCTTTTCCTAAAGGAAATCAACCTTGACTGTTCTTTGGAAGGACAAATACTGAAACTGAAGCTCAAATACTTTAGCCACCAAATGAGAAGAGAGGAGTCTTTGGAAAAGACCCTGATGTTTCGGAAAGATTGAAGGCAACAAGAGAAGGGGATGGTAGAGAATGAATAGTTAGATAGTTTCATTGATGCATTGGGTAAACAAGGGGAGACAGTGAGGGCAAGGAGGCCTGGCATGCTGTGGTCCATGAGGTTGCAAAGAGTCGAACATGACTGAAAAACAGCAAAATACTTCCTTTTAGAAAAATAAAAATAAAAATCCTTTCCCATTGTAGTCCTCATATCTCAGATAAATAAAACAATTTATTTTGTTATGCAACAAATTCAAATTCCCCTTCCTAAAAAAGGATCAAAAAGTAAGAATTTAATGATAATAATCATATGATATAACCAATTTTCATTTTTTGCTTCCTAACATTTTCTTAGAAGTGCAAGGTCCATTTTTTTCCAGATCAACTGAGTTTTGATCCATTGTTTATAACAGGGACTGACCAACTGGCTCGTTACCTGAGCCTTTTCTGTGTCTCCCAAAAGTTCACACTTTATCTTTAGAGTTTAGACCTGCATTCATCTGGAATCAGTTCAATACAGATACAGGGTTTAATTTGAAGGAAAGAGATCTATTGTAAGGAAATGAAAGAATGATAAAATTGATAAATACATTCAAGTACATCAAATGGACCTGGCTGGATTTTCACTATAGGCATGATTCCAATGAGAACATAAAAAGCAAAAGTAGTTACACTGGTCTATAAGCAAAAAGAATCTAAAATCAATACTTGGTCAATACATTTGTTAGGATCAACCGAAACTTTTTAAAACTCTGCAACATTCAATAAGTCCAGGATTCTATATCAGGCAAGATAATACCAAAAAAAAAAAAAAAAAAAATCAAAAGAAAAAGATGTGCAAAATTTTTTAAAAAATTAGGCCAAGCATTGCAATAATTAACTTTATCATTAAGAGTCAATATTAAGACTGAAGACTGAATGAATTCACCACTAGTAAATGCCTTACTTTTTTTAACCTTACTTTCTTGTATAGTTGCATTTAATATCTATAGCATCTATAAGTGCCACTCCTCAGCTCCCTGAAAATTCATTCTGGAGTCAGTTTTTCAACTGTACAACGGTTTCAATAAATGTACAAATTGCCTTCAAACACAGCAAGCCTCAAGTCTTAAGTCACACAATTTAAAGAAAACCTGCTTTTTAAAATAGCCAAATTGTAGAAATTTGATAACTAGCTAAACCATTTTCCAAGTAAACAAATTAAAAACTTACTATGGTTCATTCAAATAAGAACACAGTAACACTGTATGCAAGCTATAAGTCTATGAGTTTCTTTGTAAAAAAAGAGAAAATATATTGGGGTCAGAGCACAACTATGGGGCATATGTGAATTTTGTTGAAATTCTTTGGCTATTTCTAACAAACAACCCTATTAGCCATTTTGGAATTTTTTAAAAAACAGCCATTTTAAAATATATTTTCTATTTCCACAGTATGTCAAGTACCATCAGATTCTTGGCCATCTGATCAAGAACAAGGAAAGTCTTCAAGAGGAAGAAAAATAATGCCAATCCTCTTCCTGAATTTATTTGTCTTACCTACGGAAGTTCTTTGGTGAAAAAGTGAGATCAAGACTCTGAAGCCATCGCAGTACTGTCAGGGGCAATCCAGTACGCCCTGGACATGTGGAGTATGACATGAAGGCAAGAGAATTCTTCTAAACTGAGGACTTCTTAAGTTCTTATATTTTTTCCACTTTCTCACCTGTCACATTTTACATTAAAACACCACAAGAATTTTATTTTATTTTATTTTATATCCAATTTATATACCGCCCTTCTCCCTGAGGACTCAGGGTGGTATACAGCCGAATAAAAACATAAATTACAAACATTAAAATAGTATTAAAAGGATATATATAAATTTGGCCCCGTAATTTAAAAATAATAACAAACCAATTTAAAACATTTTAAAAAGTTAAAAAAATTAAGACACTATTACAGCCACTACTTTATCTTATCAATCCAATTTTGTCACATTAGTTAAAAACACTTATAAGCTATAAACTCTCCTTAAATTGGGCAGCATTGATTCCCAAGTGTTTTAATCATTGTCTTGCATATGAAATTACATCTTCCTCAGCAAATATTAGCAAATATATCTCTACTTAGCACTAGCACTCATTATAGTGATTCTGAGAATTCCAATTCCAATATAACTGATCATTACCATAGTACAGGGGTGGATTCTACTTACCTTTACTACCGGTTCGCAACAGGATTGCGCACACGTGCTCGTTTCTGCACATATCACTTCTGATGATGTCAGGGTCAGTGGGCGGAGCCTCCCATCAGTTTTACTACCGGTTCTATAGAACCGGTCCTAACCAGGGGCAACCCACCACTGCCACAGTACCTTGGATAGGACCAGGCAGCCATTCCTGGTGTGACTAGAAATACGTCTTTGATACCCACTAGATTTCTTTATCCCATTAAATTGATTTTTTTAGAAAATCATAAGAAAAATTGACATGTTATAAAAATAAGTCAAAACTAAACTAGTGGGTGGTTATCATTTTTTCTTCTTTCTTTCTTATACAGATATTCATCTATAGAGCTCAGTCATTCCAAAATATGAATGGTGAGTGGCTAAAGCACATGACTTTGTTTGGATTTGTTTAGCAAAACATAAAGATTTAAATGGGGTGGTAGAAAATGTTCTGAATGTTAAAAAGAGCCTTAGGAATAACTTTGCTAATTTATGTACAATAAAAGGAAAAAATACAGAAAAATAATAGAATAAAGAATGCTTTGAGATAGGAGTGGGAATGGGAAAGAATAAATATGAGAAACATTTTTATTTAGAAATTATGGGTTTGTGCATTCTGTCTAAAATTGAGAGCTGAGACACTTTACTCTCTTCTTTATTCCCTAAAAACCAATGACTATTTAATTTGGAGAACAGTAAATTATGGATCCGTCCAACATGTGAAAATAGCTGCAGCAATTAATTCAGCAAGTTGCAAATATGGATTAGATCACAATAGAAAAAGCTGCTACCGGTAGCAGGAGTTGCTAGCCAATTCTGCGAGCCCTTCCTTTATCAAATGCTAGTTTCTGATTACAATATATCACTGAATATTTTCAGCTCTTTAAACAGCTAGGTAGTCAAGTGCCTTTCACCTGTAAGTTACCTGATCTATTATTATGTACTATATTGATATTATTCCTTTCAAATCACTCCAACTTCCTAGATTTATCACACCCATTGAAAGTTTGTAACATTCTCCAAATTGTAAACGTCCACCAAGCAAAGCTTTACAGACCTTTGTTGAACCCCAAAATCTTGCTAGACCGAGATCTACTTATCATTTGCAAATCCTAGTGCTGTAGATTAAGGCTAGAGACCTTAGTCTGAAAAAACAACGCGGAAAAAGGCACTGGTAAATCACGTCCATCATAGGACTCGAGCTGGATTATTTGAAATTGGCTCCTTCCCGGCTCCCTGAAAGAAAATTCAATTTTGCGCCCGATTCAGCCGCTTCTTCCTTTCGATTCCTTTTCTGAACTACCCCATTCTCGGTCTCCAATGATGCTTTCCATCTACACGCGCGATTCCCGCTCTTACTTGAGAAGGGCCTCAGGCTCCTCGGTCGCCGCGTCTTCGATCGCCATAACAACCATCACCAGAGCAACCTCTCGAGCGAAAGTCCCACCCACCAACGCGAAAAAAATTCAGAAGCCCAAGTGCGCATGCGTTTCAACGACTGGGCAAGTATGTACCGTTTTGAACCGTAGAAGTTTTTTTCGCGGTAGTGGGTTCGTTTTCGATGACACGTTGTACTAAATCAGGTCGATTGCCAGTAGTGCATAATTAAACGAAACAACACATCCACATACCCCCCCCACCCACCCACCCGTACCGCTTAACACAGACAAACGTCCCGGTCACTTGTGTTCCATGTATCTTCTCTCGGGGTTGCGTGTTTCTTTTTATTTCCAAATCTAAAAAGCGACTTTTTCGACTCCGAGTCAGCGGTCGCCTGGCTCGTCTCGTTTTCTTGATCTGGTTCGCCTCCTTTTGTGTATGTAGGAATAACCTGTTCCCGGTCAATTTGATAGTTGTACGGACTGTTCAAACTCCGTTTCTGCATTGTCTCGAAATGCCGAAAGCGAAATACTTCCCGTGAAGAGGAAAGACAAAAGTGGCCCTGGGATTCATTTTTAAAATCAGTTTCGGGAAAATTGAAAGCAGAATTGTTTCTGTCATGCTTTGCTTTTGTTTAAGTTGAAGAACTAATCTGATAAGTAATGTGATACAAAAAAGTTTCATGGTACAATTTAAATTGATAAGGAACTGAAGCAGTTATCTGAATTTTACAGCCCTTCCCCGAAGTTTTGCCATTCAGATTACTTCGGTAAAAGATTTGCTCTTGAACATACAAATTTCCAGCTCTGATGCTTGTAGAAGTGACTTTTAAAAATTATTTTCTATGGGAATGTGTGAAAAAGGACTTTCCTTGACAATACAAAGGATGTGGAATTATGCATACTATTGGAGGTTTTTTTTAGAGTGTTGCAAAAAGAAGAAAAAGCTGCATAAAGCTTCTTGAAAACCATTTTCTAATTGATGAGATCAAAAATTGTCAAATTTCAAACCAAATTTTCGGGGGGGGGGGGTGTTGCACTAGATTACCTACATTCCTACAAGGTCCCTTCCAACTCTGTTAGGGTAATTTGTATATGTATCAATCTAAGATGGAACTTGGAATAGATGATATAAATCATCTGTCCAAAGGTTCAAACTTGGGCACGTTTTGTTTGTATTGTTGGAAGAAGGCTTCCCACAGTATGATGAAAATTTTAATCAGCCATTCAGTGGTTACTGAAATATTCTTGTCCTAAGGGATAAACTGTTGGAAAGTTATAGCTGTTTGATTATATTACTTTAAAAACATGCAATTTTATATGCATATTGTTTCATCTGACATTAAAGTGCTGCACTGATGTAATTAATTTTTGAGTTGAAGAGAAACTGTTAGATTCTGCATGTTTTTTGTTTTAATAATGGGAGACGATAGGCACAACGGGTGATATTAAATGTTAGTCTCCATAGAGCATGACTGAAGCACTTTGGCCTCAATAAATTCAGAGAAGTTTGAAAATGAACAAAAATCATACGTATGGAATATAAAAATAGAAAGTACATCCAGATAACATTAACAATAGCTGTCAGGCAAAAGAATAGAATAGAATAGAATAGAATAGAATAGAATAGAATAGAATAGAATAGAATAGAATAGAATAGAATAGAATAGAATAGAATAGAATAGAATAGAATAGAATAGAATAGCAGAGTTGAAACCTTACACCACTTCAGACAAATGGTTATCCAATCTCTTCTTAAAAACTTCCAGTGTTGGAGCATTTACAACTTCTGGAGGCAAGTTGTTCCACTGATTAATTCTTCTTTTAGGAAATTTCTCCTTAGTTCCAAGTTGCTTCTCTCCTTGATTAGTTTCCACCCATTGCTTCTTGTCCTGCCCTCAGGTGCTTTGGAGAATAGCTTGACTCTCTCTTCTTTGTGGCAACCCCTGAGATATTGGAACACTGCAATCATGTCTCCCCTAGTCCTTCTCTTCATTAAACTAGACATACCCAGTTCCTGCAATCATTCTTCATGTTTTAGCCTCCAGTTCCCTTAGTCTTTGTTGCTGTTCTCTGCACTCTAAAGTCTCAATATCTTTTTTACATCGTGGCGACCAAAATTGAATGCAGTTCAAATGTGGCCTTACCAAAGCCATTATAAAGTGGTATTAACACTTCACTTGATCTTGATTCTATCCCTCTGTTTATGCAGACTAGAACTGTATTGGCTTTTTTGGCAGCTGTTGCACACTTCTGGCTCATACAAGTCATAATCGATTCTGTTTTAAGCAAAATATTTCAGCAAATGTGGATTGGATGGCATGATGATAGATGCTGGTTCAGAATACATAATTCACGTATGTTCATCAGTAGTTTTTCATGAACTTAGAGAGAGCTATGGGTCAGTCCTGGATCTTCTATTCAATATTTTCATTAATGGTTTGGAGAAATATGCTTTAACTGAAGATGACACAAAATAGAATGGAATAGCTCATAACCTACTGGACAGAAACGATCCAGAAACAATCTTGCTAGGAAGTTCTTGTCCATACAAGAACTAAATAGAGACATGTGCAAAGCTCTTCATATAAGAAACATAAATCAAATGTTGATGTATATGATGGAATATTACAATTTTAAAGGTTTCCCCATCCAATCATAACCGACTGAAGGGAGCAGTGCTTATCTGATTCTCAGCCAAGGAAACCTGTGTTGTCTGAGAGACATTTCTATCATCATGTGGCCAACATGAAAATATGGAATGCAGTAACCTTCCCACTGAAGTGGTACCTATTTACCTACCGACATTTGCATGCTTTCTAACTGCTAAGATTGGCAGGAGCTGGGGTGAATAAAGGGAGCTCACCCTGTGTATTAGCGCTCAGGCCGGGCTGTCAGCTTTCCAGTTGACAAACTCAGCTTCTTAACCTCTGAGCCATTGCACCCCTTAAGATGGAATATATCTGGTCTGATAACAATAATTTTGAAAAGATTTTGGAATAGTATTTGTTGCAAACTTAATATTGGCTAACATAGGTGAGTGGCTATGAAAAGCAAATGTAATTTTATTTCACACTAATTAAAGTATACGGTAATTTCTAAATCATGGGAAGTAACTTTTACACTCGTTTTGCATTAGTCTGCTTCATCCTGAATACTCTATCCAGTTCTGGCACTATATTTCAAGACGAATTCAGAAAAAAATAGAACAAATTTTGAGAGTAAATAGAAATTAAAACTTATGAAGAGAGATTGAACAGGCTGTGAACATTTTACCTTGGAAAAAGATGACTGAGGGTGATATGATAGCACTCTTCGAACTCTTGGAAGAATGTCACATGGAAGAAAGTCAAGATCTGTTCTCGCTCTTATTCCAGAGCACAGAATGATCAGCTTAAGTTACAGCAAAACAGATTCCAATTGAATTTGAATTCCTGCTTGGAATAAGGGCTTGGATTTGATAATGTAAATGTTCTGTTTCAATGCTATAATTATACCAATTGAGAAAGCTTCCTTGGGATTTTCATACAAAGTAAACCAAAGGAGTCATAATCCTATAAAAGCTCCAGTCTCAATATATTTGAAAATTACTATTACAATTGTACTATTACTATTGTTGCTATTGTTATATATTGAAATCCAATGGCATCAAATCTGGTTTGCGCTGTTTATTTATTTAATTTTTTATTTGTATAAGTGCCCATCTTTAATTTCTGTGCATTTTAAAATAATATAATCACATGTGCAAACATTTATGGTATTCTTATGTAGTGACTAAAGTAGTAGTAGTTAAATCCCTGTTTTGTCCTGAAATTTCCTGGGTGATGCCAGGACAGTTAGGGACTAGATGACAAAAGAAAAATAAACACATTTACAATAGTAGGTCTTCAGTACATATTCCAGAGAAGTCTGAAAATAAAAGACACTTATTTGTTTAACCATCTTTCAAGTTTTATATATGTATATCAGTTTTAGAGAAAGAAAAAAAGAAAATGTACTTAATACATAGACAGGCATTCATCTTTACTCAGAATATATCAAACAATAATTAAACTAAACAATATATTTTTATGCAAAATTTACAAGTTCTAGACATTCTCCCCTACTTCCCACATTATTACTTACATAGCATTTCATGAAATTTTAAAGGAATACATTGTAGGATCATTCCATTCTAGCTCTTAAAAGACCAAAAATCCACTAAAAAGCAGTTAATATCTCATTCTTTCAACTGCAGTAGGAACACAGAAGAAAGTAGCTTCTATGGGAACAGCGGTATTTAAATAGACAACCTGCTACTAAGAGCTGTGTATTATTTCTTTACAAATGAAGTAAGTGAATCTTTTTCAACTAAACTAATTCTTACAGAGAATAATGATCTTTATTAGGCCAAATGTTGGGGCATATAGCAGAAAATGGGCACACCTAGGACAAAAACTGAATTATCTGATTTTAAATTTAAAGGTAGCCTTCTAGATATGAATGTTACTTAATGGCTGTTCAAAGTTATGACAGACCCCCTCCACCAAAAGTTATGACCCTGTTTAGAAGTTATGGCCACTGCAGCCCCTATGGTCATTCACCCTTACGCTCAGCCTCAGGGATATTGCAGTGCCCATCCCTGACTCTTCCCCCCCCATCCCACCCCACTGGGACCACAAGGGCCTTGCGCCTATTCTTCACACACCCATCACCCATTGCACACTTAGCTTTTGAAAATCTCCAGATGTCAGGCTGTGCAATCACATTAAGAAACAAAATGGAGTAGTTTGTCCCTTGCCCATGGCTTTGTGAAAGCAGTGGAGAAATTGATGGCCACTTCCGGGATGCATGGTCCACCCTCTTTCCTCAATATGAGAAACATGGAGATCTTCAGGGGACAGCAAGCAGACCACAAGATGTCTTGAGGGTGGGGTGGGGAGGCTTTGGGAGGCCTAGGGCAGGCAGGCCTGGCCATATGCTAGGCCTCCAAAGGTCTCCCCCACCTCTGCTTAACAACCCAGGTGTTGATTTAATGGCCACATCGGGGAGGGCAGGGGATGAGGGTTGTTAAGCAAGGCCACCTCACTTAATGGCCATCACCACTTGGGAGTGTAATGGGCAGGCTCTGTTACAGCTGTACATCAAGGATTACCTGTATATATAATTGCAATTAAATTATTAAATGAAATTAGTATAATCATCTCCCAATCTTATTGTGCTTAATAGCCTCCCGTTTCATTTGCTGTTTAAGACAAAAATTGGTCTGGAACTGCATCCAAACCTTGGAAAGCTCCTCGTGACCTTGGGATCACAAGTTGGGGAATTTATACAGAGAAGAAATATGGAAAAGATTGGAAACCTTAATTTATTTCTCTTTCACTCCACTGCCATTCCAATACTTTTAAGAAAGAAAGAAAGAAGAGATTCAAAAAGAATTTACAATTTGCAGTGCAATATACAGGAAATAGTAATAGCACATATATACCACTTCACAGTGATTTGCAGCCCCCTCTAAAAAGTTTTACAGAGTCAGCATATTGTCCCCAACAATCTGGGTCCTCATTTTACTGACCTAGGAAGGATGGAAGGCTGAGTCAACCTTGAGCCACTTAGAATCAAACTCCTGGTGGAAATGGTTGGGAGCAGTTTCTTAAATATTTGGTTGCTTTAATCATTAAAAAAAAAGGCCTTCACACATATTACCTTGCATTCCAGAATACTTTTTTCAAAGGATTTGTATAGCTCTGTAAAATATGACCACATTTATATTTCACTTTAGTAGTACTTCAAGAAATTTTGTTTGGCATGATTTTAATGTGCAGGCAAGCTTGTTTAAGTTTCTCCCTATCATATAATTTTCATGTGTAACATGTTGTAGAATATTTCTTTAAGTTCTGAAATACGATTCACTGTTTTATTGGTACTGTAAGAAATTTTTCAAGATGTTTGGCAGTTGAAGTTGTGGTACAAGATGCAATCTAGATTTTCCTATATAATTTCGGATTCGTAGTCGGCACAGCTGGCAAAGAGAACATGGAGTAACTGCAATTGAATAAAAATGACATTATGTAGCATTAGATAGTATTCTCAAGAACTTACATTTTGTACTTACATTATATATATTTATCATATTCAAACAGACATTTTAGTTGAATAGATTTCTTGGATGCACTGCCATTTTTACTGACATATATCTAAGAGTTATGTAGTACATATATATTTGGTAAGGAAAATTAAGGAATGTTTGCAAAGTTCAACAAAACTTTGAATGATGATTTGGGGAAGAAAATATAGATTTATGAATATATACATATATATATACATATACATATACATATACATATACATCTATCTATCTATCTATCTATCTATCTATCTATCTATCTATCTATCTATCTATCTCTTTAGCCAGGTTCTACGCTAAAGAAAAAGATATATATATATATATATATATATATATATATATATATATATATATATATATATATATGTCTTTTTCTTTTTCGTAGGCTTTTATGTGCATATTCTTCTTCTCAAAAGTTGGGGGTCGTCTTATACGCTGGGTGTCGTTCTCCTGTAACCAGGCAGACCAGCCCGAAACGCTCTGACGAGCTTTAAATGGCTCTGGCGATCCCAGCTCTGACGATCCCAGCTCTGACGATCCCAGCTGAGTTCCCTGCAACTCAGCTGGGATCGCCAGAAACCACGTAAAAGGAAAAAAGTTTTTTCCCTTTTACTCTGACGATCCCAGCTCTGACGATCCCAGCTGAGTTCCCTGCAACTCAGCTGGGATCGCCAGAACCATGGCTCTGACGGTCCCAGCTCTGACGGTCGATCCCATCCCAGCTGAGTTCCCTGCAACTCAGCTGGGATGGCCAGAGCCATGTAAAAGGGAAAAAGTTTTCCCCCTCCAGCTTGCTTACCTCAGCTGCTAGTCGCAACGCTTGCCTTGCTTTGCTTGCCTGAATCTATTCAGGCAAGCAAGCAACTCCCTGCCTGCAATCAAGCAAGGAGGGAGTTGAAGTCTACAAGTCTTAAAGTTGCCAAGGTTGGAGACCCCTGTTCTATTGGGTAAGTTTTTTTCCCCTTTGGGAGCTTTAAAAAAAATAGTCAATTGGGATTTTTTTAGTTGTTCTTTTTTAGACCTAGCCATTTAAAGTTTAGGAAGTTTTAAATTTAGCTTTCATATAAAAGTAAAAATAAAATAAAATAAAATAATATTTGTGCAGCTTTCTGAGATTTAGTGTGTTTCTGTAGTGTTTCACTCCAACTACACAAACACACAAAATCTCACAAAGCTGTATGTGGAATTTGGTGTGTGTAAAGTGTGAAAGTTGGTTTTTTGGACTTTTTGTGGCTGTGTGAGGTTCCTGCTTGTTGCAGGGGCCATTTTGGGTCTAGCACAGCTGCTTTTACATTGTGGGTGAGCCAGTTGTGTTGTGTTGTGTGTGTTTAGAGTGTGAAAGTTTTGGGGGGGGGCTTTTTGTGGCTGTGTGAGGTTCCTGCTTGTTACAGGGGCCATTTTGGGTCTAGCACAACTGCTTTTACATTGTAGGTGAGCCAGTTGATGTTTTTTAATTTTTATTTGGTGTGCATTGGAAGAGGGGCAGTCTTATATGGCGAGTATAGCCCAAATCCTATATTTTAACAGGAAAAGTTGGGGGTCGTCTTATACGCCCAGTCGTCTTATACGCCGGAAAATACGGTGTGTGTATATATATATATATATGTTTATGTAAGTTTTCACGGGTATGTATGTGTGTATAGTTAATATTTCAGGTTTCTTCCCGTGTAATTGTGGATATATCCCTAAAAGGGTAGAAGCGACGTTTCGGCAGAATCCCATCTGCCATCATCAGGCTTATGTCAGCAGTCATTTTGCACTAACTGACGTTGGTATTTCAAATCTGGTCTGGTATTCTGGGATGGCTCCAACTTTTCATTCTGATTGGTTAGGAGTCCCAATATGTGTTTATTGGCTTGGCTTCGGGTGTATGGTCGGTTTTTCTCCACTAGGTGGCAGGGCTTCATCTTTGTGGCTGATTTGAATATGATTTGGTTGGGATTTTTTTGTGTAATGTTTGGTTTATGTTTTATATATGGTGTTAAGATTCGTCTATCCGTAAGCTACGTTGTTCCTCAGCCCTAGTTCTGTGAAATCTCATTCACAAGTTTCTGGGCTTTTTGTATCCTGCTGAAAAGCAACAACTCTGTGCTGCAATTTGGGAGACTCATATATCATTCACAGAACTAGGACTGTGGAACATCTTAGCTTACGTAGGTAAAACCTGGCTAGAAAGAATATGCAAATAAAAGCCTACGAAAAAGAAACATACATACATACATACATACATACATACATACATACATACATACATATATATATATATATATATATATATATATATATATATATATATTTTCTCAGGTTTTCGCGGGTGTTTGTATGTAGGTCTTTGGTTATTCGGGTCTTCTCCCACGTAAAATTGGAAGTGTCTTGGCGACGTTTCGACGAAGTCTCATTCGTCATCTTCAGGCTGGTGTTCTCGGCTTTGTGCTTCACAGCAGAGTCAAACCCACACTGATAATGAGCCACGACCAAGGACCAGAGCCCCCCATCCAATCAGAGCACAGCCAAGCCCCTAACCAATCAGAACACACCTCCACCCAATCAGAACACAGCCAAGTTCCTACCCAATCAGCTCACACCCCCACTAGCAGTTAAAAGGAAGAGACAGGTGCGATCTCACATTGCTCCTGGAAGCACGAAGCCGAGAACACCAGCCTGAAGATGACGAATGAGACTTCGTCGAAACGTCGCCAAGACACTTCCAATTTTACGTGGGAGAAGACCCGAATAACCAAAGACCTACATATATATATATATATATATATATATATATATATATATATATATGTATGTATGTATACATATATATATATATACATACACACACACATACATACATACATACATACATACATACATACATACATATCTCCTCAGGGAAAGTGAAGCTTACAACCTGCTGTAGTCAGACAGGAGGATGGAAAATTCTTCTTCCCTCATTCTAAATCTAATATATGTGCTTCCTCAGCACTGAGAAAGAGAAAGAGAAGCCGCTTGGGCTTGATGCTGTCATCCAAAACCCAATAGCAACAAAGAAAGAACAAATACAAACTTTACCTTCATGTAATAGTAGTATTTTTTCCACCAAGCTGCTTGAAACAGCAACATCTACGGGTCGTTCAAACTCTGAATTTTTGGCATTTATATCTGCTCCAAACTCAAGAAGTATGTTTACTATTTCAGTATTAGGTAGCCTTGCAGCTGCATGCAATGGAGTTTCCAAAAACTTTCCTTTTTGAACATTTGCCCCTATGGATTTATAATAGAGTACATTTTACATTAACCTAAAAATATTTTAACAAAGAATCATAATCAGATCAAGTGTCTAATTTTTGTTTCTCAGAAATAAACATTTGTTAGCAATTTATTTCATTTATATTCTATTTTTCCACACCAGTGAGTACTTAAAGACAGTTAATATAACTTTGGAAATAATAGAAAAACTAATTAAAGTATAAAAGGCCAGTAAAATAGATGCATATTGGTTGCAGAAACCAAAGACAACTTTGCCCAAGTCAGATAGTACATTAAATATCTTGGGAAAACTGCAGGAGTCCTCCTGTATGACAGGGAAATGAGCCTGGCTAGTGGGGACATCTTCAGAAGTGCCTGTCTTATAGTTATTAACAGTCACATAATTTCGTAACAAAAGTACTTACTTCAAGAATCTAGGTATACATCACTTCAGACTAGATTACATTAGACTAATATATCTAGCATTTAAATATATAATGGTGAGTAGAATGTGTGCATATGCAGTGGTGAGAAGAGGGGTTGAAGAAATCTGGTTCCTGTTTAGGAATGAATTCCATATTGATGGAAGTGGGGAACTAATGACAAAAATAATGGGTTCAGGAAGATATGGCATGGGACATATTGGGGATAGGCCCCACTTCTGGACCTGTGGTCTTGATGCTTAGAATACTGATGACCTTAACTTCTTGCTGCTGTTAGTAAATAATAGGTCTGACTATAGATCTTGTTCATCCATAATTTGGTGAATAAAGAAAGTAACTGATGTGTATTTCTAGAACCTGGTTGGGTTAAGGTAGCAATGTCACCTTTTTGGAGATATGGCCCAACCCACATTAAGAATACGTGTTCAATTCCTAATTTGTTAAGTGGTCACCCTGAATTTAAGATTGTTGGACAGAAATTAATTTAGATACTGCTGCTGCTGTTGCCAGACTCCTTGCAATTCAAAGGCTATGAACGATTTTGCCCCTGGTTTATTTTTTTAACTCTTAATGCTTATTTTGGTTTTTGCCTTGATATTTTATTTATCACACCAGTGGCAGCATTTATATAACTTGATTGCACTTGAAAAAAACTAAACAGGATCAGATCTGATATTAGATGGGAGATCAGCATGAATTCCCAGGAGTGTATACTAAACTGGGAAGTAAAGAAAACATCCTAAAATTGTATTGATAAATCACTTATTGCTAAGGCAGTTATTGGGCATGTCCCTGCAATCTCCAAGAACCAAGAACCGAATTGAGGGAAGACTTTCTTTTTTGTTATAGAAATAAAATATTTTCAATGTATAGCCAGTCAATGTATATAGCCTGAGCTGATTTTGCAGAGGTATAACAACCCTATGCAGAATGATCAGACAGAATAATGCAAGTTTGTTTATTAATAAATAATCTTAAAGAATTTTAATGAATCTTAAAGAAAAATGACATTCTGTTAATAAGAATTAAGTTATAAAAGTATAGGTCTTTAAAACAATGGACCCGGGACTTCCGGTTTCCTTGTCTTCGGCGACGGCGGCGCTCTTTGAAGCTCCGCCAGCCCCGCCGCCTGTAGAGCCGCTTCGCGATCGAGAAGCGGCTCGAAAACTTCAAAATCCTGAGGATTGTTGGAGGAGAGATAGCAGGGCACAGGTCGAGCCCCTGTAACCCCCCAGGGAATCGTTTCTGGGGAGGAAACAGGCGCGGCTCCCTTCCAACCTGCTGAGACTCCGGGCGGCGTGGGACGATTCTGCTCCTGCAGAACAAGCCGGCTGCAGGAAACTTAAAGCGAAAGAACCAGCTTTAATAAACAGCGAAACTACCTGAATCCTGAAATTTGGAAACGCAAGTATTAGCACTTTGTTGACTTTTCAATCTGAGACAATGCGAATGAGTGAAAGTGCTTTGAAAAAAACATGGCGCCTAGCTTCAGAGTTAACGAGCCAGCGAGTGTGGATTGGTGAAGTTATTTTGTTTTGCTACAAAGTTTCCAAGTTGCTACTAAGCTGCCTTGCTTGTTATAAGAGAAATAACTGGGAAATTTTTTTTCCCTTTTCAATATTGGACTCTGCTTTATTTTAACCCTTGTTTGATCAAATCTGGGGGACTTTTTTAGAAGTCTTTGTGCAGGAGGGAAAGGAAAAGGAACTTCCCTCTTTAGAAAAACTAGATCACGAGCCAGGATGGCTTCAAAGAAGCAGGAAGGGAAGGCATTAGGGGGGGGATCCCCCACACACAAACAGCAAACGCAACTTCCCCCTGCTCAACAGCTACAAACTCAGAAAAAAGAATTTGATGTGGGAGATTTAAAAGAATTTATTTCTAAAACTCTGGATGACAAATTTCAAAAATGTCAACAGGAGATAGATGATAAATTTCAAAAATCACATCAGGAACTTATGCAGGAAATTAATGAAGTCAAAGACATGGTGAAACAGAATCAAAATAAGGTGACCAAAAAAATATCAGAAGTGGCGTCTGGCCTGGCAGAATTTATTGGGAAAGTTGATTATAAAGTTGAAGAATTCAAATCAGAAGTTAATGTCAAGATGAAAGACAATGATTATAAAATTGATGAAGTTGATAATAAAATGCAGAGAATTGATGATGAGATTGTTATGATACAATTCCGGGCGATGGAATTCGCCATATGGCTTCGGGGAATTCGAGAGGAGGAGAGACAGGATTTGAGACAGGTTTGTTCTGAAGCCTTGGCCAAGATTCTACAAGTTAATCCTGATGTGGTATTTCACAAAATAGATAAAATCTATAGAGTGAACTCTTGGGTGGCCAGACAAAGACAACTGCCTAGAGATGTGGTCATATACTTTACAGAAAGAGGAATTAGAAATGATATCCTGCAAAAATCTTTTTATACTTCTGTACAAGTGGGGGGTTCACGACTTCAAATCTTTAAAGAATTACCTCCTAAAATGCTGAAAGCCAGAAAAGAATTTGGTTTTCTTGTTAAGGAACTGAGAAATTTACAGATACCCTTCCGGTGGGACGCACCAGCTGGGTTAATTTTTAGATACAAGGGAGAAGGGTATCGGTTGAATACCGTGGAGAAGGCACAACACTTTTACACTACTATTCTTAAGGAAAGAACACCATCTCCACGTACATCCACAGTTTTGGAGATTAAAGAGAGTGAAGAGAGGCAATTGCAAGAACAGTCCAAGCAGGAATTAGAAGTAGTGCAAGGTGCAGAAGGAGGTTTTCTGAGTGAGCCCTTGTTGGATTCTTCTCCAATTTTGGATTTGATTCAGTTGACAGAAGTTAAAGATCAACGTATAACTAGAGCCCAATCCAAGCTACTTAAACAAAAGCAACAACAACAACAGGAAAGACAAGACAAGAAGGCAGTTAAGAGTATCGTACAAGAGAGTGGAGCTATGGGAGGAGCGAGATCGAAGCTCTCGGATGAACTTCAAATATTTTGCTCTGTGCTCCAGAAAGAGGCTGATGACCTTTAAGTGTCTATCTTGGAATGTCAATGGGTTGAATTCAGCACAGAAAAGGAAGAAATTATTTACATATTTGAAACAATTTAATAATGATATAATATGTTTACAAGAAACGCATATCACAACTCAAGATCAAAAATATTTGATAAATTCAAAACTAGGAGCACATTATATATCTTCAACTTCGCAGAAAAAGAATGGTGTGGTTATTTATGTAAATAAAAAATTAACAGCGAAAGTTATAGAAGCAGATCAAGATGGTAGGTTTGTAGCAATTGAATTGCTCACAGCAAATGGTCAAATTCTTTTGATTGGAATTTATGCTCCCAACCAACAACAGGATTATTTTTACAAGATGTTACATACTAAAATATTGCAATGGGACTATAGATCTATTTTAATTATGGGAGACTGGAATGGAGTAATTGATTCTAAACTAGATAAAAAGAGCTTGGCAAAGTCTAGAATTAGATTACCACAGACTTTTTTTGATATGAAAGAAGATATGGAATTAAAAGATGTTTGGAGAATACATAATCCAAATGAATTGGACTATACTTTTTTTTCGGATAGACATAGATCTTTTTCTAGGATTGATTTTATCCTGTTGTCAAATGATCTACTTGTTAAGACAAAAAGAACAAAGATTTTTCCAAGAACTCTGACTGACCATAGCCCTGTATGGATAGAAATTGAGATGGATAAGGTTGAGAGACGTTCTTGGAGATTAAATGAGAACTTGTTTAGATATGAAAAAAATACAATAGAACTTAAAAAGCACTTGAAAGAATTTTTTGAAATAAATTTGAATAAAGGTACCCCAATTGAAATTGTTTGGGATGCAAGTAAAGCTTATATGAGAGGGGTACTCATCTACATGAACTCTAAACATAGACTGCTCCGACAAAAGAAAAGATCTGAGTTGGAAATGGAAATAAAGAATAAAGAACAGTTACTTATTAAAAATCCAACAGATGAAAGAATATGAAGTGCTATAAAACTTTTGAAAGACCAATTTCAAATGCTTATGGCGGAACAAGTTGCAACAAGTTTACAATATGCGAAGCATAACACATTTTGCAACGCTAACAAACCGGGCAGATGGTTGGCTTACACATTGAGGAAAAAACAAAGTATACGGACTATTGATAGTATTGATATTGGAGGGAAAGAAATCTTTCAACAAAAACTAATTAAAGAAGCTTTTGTGGATTATTATACTAAACTATATGCCAAAGAAGAGGTGCAGAATGGACTTATAGAAAAATATTTAAAGGATAAGAGAGTTACAAAAATTACTGATCAACAAAAGGAAAGAATGAATTATCCTATAACAGAGGAGGAGATAACAGCAGCAATTAAACAGCTAAAAACAGCCAAAGCTCCTGGCACGGATGGTCTGACTGCAGTGTATTACAAAACTTTACAAGCTGAAATGGTGGGACAACTTAGAGATTTATTTTGCAATATTCAACAAGGGGGTAAAATACCCCCATCCTGGACAACTGCTTATATATCTTTGATACCAAAAGAACAAGTTGGTCCTAAAAAACCAGAGAACTACAGACCAATATCTCTTTTGAACACAGACTATAAAATTTATGCGAAGGTATTAGCCAACAGGTTGATGCCAGTAATCCAAAAGGTGATTCATGCGGACCAAGCGGGATTTATTGAGGGCAGATATATGAAGGACAATGTAAGGCAAGTAATAGACTTATTGGAATATCTTGATAAGAATAAACAGATTTCTGCAGTGCTGGTTTTTTTGGATGCGGAGAAGGCCTTTGATAGAGTGGATTGGAATTTTCTACTAAAGACTTTAAAAAAGATGGGCTTTGGGGACCAATTTATACAGGCGATCTCAGCAATTTATCAAGAGCAAAAAGCACAGATTATTATTAATGGAAGTTTGACGACAGAGTTTAAAATTGAAAAAGGAACAAGACAGGGATGTCCGTTGTCCCCTCTTTTATTTATTTTAACATTGGAAGTCTTGCTAAATATAATACGGGACTCAAAAATTTTGAAAGGCATAATGATAAGGCAAGAGGATTATAGAATAAAGGCATTTGCAGATGATCTGGTGGTTACCCTATCACAACCAATGGAATCAATAATCTTGATGAACGACATTATACAAGACTATGGTAGAGTTTCAGGTTTTAGAGTGAACTCAAAAAAGACTAAAATGATAGTCAAAAATATGACACAAGATCGTAAACATGAGTTTGAAAGGAGGGCAGGTTTTGAAATTGTACCTAAGGTAAAATATCTTGGAGTTCAGGTTGCAGAATCAAACATGAAATTGTTTCAAAATAACTATGAGGTGTTGTGGCGAGAGGTTCAGAAAGACATGGAGACTTGGAAAAAGCTGCAACTGTCCTTACTTGGAAGAATAGCAGCAGTTAAGATGAACATTTTGCCAAGATTTCTGTTTTTGTTTCAAATGATTCCGGTGCTTAAAAGTGATAAACAACTGAAAGTTTGGCAAACTGGACTTAATAAGTTTGTCTGGAACGAGAAAAAGCCGAGAGTGAAATTGAAAATTATGCAAGATGTTCCAGAAAGAGGAGGCCTTAAACTTCCAAACCTACAGTTATATTATGATGCAGCAGCTTTAACTTTAACAAGTGATTGGTTTGGAAGTAAAAAGGCTGGAATATTGAATGCAGAAAGTTTTGATCTTGAATTTGGATGGCATGCTTACCTATTTTATGATGACAAAGTTGATAAAGTATTTAAAAGTCATATACTTAGAGACTCTTTGATGAGAGTTTGGAAGAAGCACCGACTCAAATGGGATTATAAAATACCGCTATGGCTGGATCTTGGTCATACCTTGTGGAATACAAATATAATGTCACTCGGGGGGGTTTTATACAAAGAGGTTCTTTTTACAGATGCGGGCAGATGGCAGTTGAAGACATTGCAGACACTGTTGGACGAAGGGATTAATTTAACCTGGTTACAATATAATCAATTACAATTGAGATGGAAAGAGGACCAAAAAACTGGTATTATGTTGCATGAGGAAGAATTGGTTAGACATATAAGAGAGAAAGGTCCAATGCATATTAAAAGGCTTTACAATGTTTTGCTAGAAAGGGATTCAGAAACGGAATTAGTTAAAGATTGTATGATTAAGTGGGCACAAAATTTTGAAGAACCAGTGATGTTGGAAACATGGGAAAAAATTTGGGTTCAGAATGTTAAATTTACACAGTCGCAGAATTTGAGGGAAAATTTTTATAAAATGTTTTATAGATGGCATCTAGATCCTAAAAAGTTGTCATGTATGTACCCTAATGTTCAGCCAAAATGTTGGAGATGTGAATGTTTGGATGCTACGTATTATCATGTTTGGTGGACCTGTAGGAAAGTTAAGGCTTTTTGGATAAAAATATGGTGGGTCATGCAGAATGTTTTGAAGAAAAAAATTCAATTTTCTCCACAATTGTTTTTATTGGGTATAGTTAAGGGTTTTACACGGGGTGAAATAAAATTAATATTGTATATGATAACAGCAGCAAGATTGTTGATAGGTAAATATTGGAAGAATGAAGCTTTGCCTACTATCGAGGAATGGATTTTGAAGATGGCCAGTTTTGCAGAGATGGCGAAGATTTCAGCATATTTAAAAGATTGTGCACAAGAGACTTATGAATGGGAATGGAAAAGGTGGATAGAATATGTTCAGAACAAATACCAAACTAGAAAGTACCAAATAGCTTTTATTTGAAAACAATGTATTAGAAATATTTTAATGTAAAGAGATAAAGAGGGAAAATTATATAGGGGGAGGGATGGGTTCAGGTATATATATCAGTATTATTAGTTATGAGTATATAATAGGGAAGTCTGGGGGGGAGGGTTAGGGAGGGCTAGGGAGGACGGGAAGTTTGGGGAGGGAGGTGGGGGGGTGAAAAAAAGGGGTGAAAATGTAATTGTAAAACTTTTGCAATAAAAAAAATAAAAATAAAACAATGGACCCCACTATATTTTTGTAGATATAATATGGATAGCGAACTATGTGTTGCTACGTTGCATATGTAAGTGAATTGAAAAGTGGCTTAATTTGAAATATACAGTATAGTTGATATAATAGGGATTAATTATGACAAGTATCATTTGAAACATATTAAAATAATACATTCCTGTATGTTGTAAATGAATGACTTCCAGAATCAACATCATCTTCTGATGATGATGATGTTCTCCTGATGATGTTGATCATAATGTGAAATAAGTAATATATTTTTCAGGAATAAACTACACTTAAAAATAATGTTCTTTTTTGTTGATCTGAAATCAGTGCAGAGCCTACTAAAGTGGCCTAATTAAAAAAACGTGTTGGTTTTATTTATAGCAAATAAACACTACAATAGGTATAGTGAAAGCCTGGTTGAGTTCAAGAAGAAATAAAATAAAAATACATCAAACAATATATATTACCTGAATGCAGAAGTTTGTGAACACATTGTTTCTGCTGTGAAAAGCAAGCCACATATAGAGGTGTTCCTAGATGAGGAACATCTAGATCAACTTCTATGCCCCAAGAAATCAGCAATTCTAGACAATCGCTGTGACCTTAAGAAAGCATAATGTAATTAATCCCTAAGACAAAATCTTAAATTTTTAAATGGCTGATGCATTTTGTAATGTACCTATTCTAAGGCTTACCTCTGCTGGCTGCTTCATGAGTTGGCGAAGGAAAACATGTCTCCCATTGAATTTTTGCACCATATTCCAATAGAAGTTGTACACAAGATGCACTCCCTCTTGAGCAGGCATTAAATAAGGGTGTTATCCCATCAATAGTTGTGGCATTCACCTAAAATATTAGTTAGATTTATTTATTTACAAATTATACTTTTTATCTGTTGCTCTCTTGTATCCAAATGTGGTTTGGAGATTGGAAAAGGCCAGGGTTTGCAGTGTGACATTTTGACAACATTGCATAATTTTCTCATCTCAAGGTGTACCAAACATCTAGGTACCCCTTTTCCTATGCTCAAACCATTCAGAATGCAGTTAAATAAAAATTAATTACAGTAATTACAGTATTAATTACTTAATTACATACTGATTTATGTAATTTTAATAAAATGTCATTTTAGTAAAAAAAACAAAACAAATAGTAATAAGATAGACTTCCAGTAAGTATGAAACATTTTACCTAATGCTTCTAAGAAAAGCTTTCTAGCTTTTAACCACAGTTTAAAGTAATATCAGTGTGATCACTTACATTTGCTCCTGCTTCAAGAAGTATCCGAGCACATCCTACATGATCTCCAAGGCATGCCTCGTGCAATGGTGTGACTTGATCAATGGTTAAAGCATCTACATTGTATCCCTAAGCAGAAAACAAGAAATTAACAATCACAAGTCTCCTAACTATTCAGTTTCTTAATGAAAGATAAATTATATAACAAGAAGTCTTTATTCAATATTTTCGTAACATATACATTTAACAATTATTCAAGAGCAGGGGGGGTCAAACTCAATTTCATTGAGGGCCACATCAGGGCTGTGGTTGACCTCGGGGGCTGGGCAGGCATGGCTGACTGGATGGGTGTGGCCAATTGGGTGGGCATGGCCAGCTTGATGCCACTCCCCAAACTGCTGACATGTTTCCTCTTTGCATTGAATAGACCGGGTGAAAGCGACGCTGGCCGATGTTTCCTCTTCACATTGGATAGAATGGACCAATGCGATGCAGGCCGGCTCCTTATATTTTCCAGGGTGGCCCCATGGGCCAGATCCGACATCACGGGCCGCACCCAGCCCGCAAGCCTTGTGTTTGACACCCCTGTTCAAGATGAATGTAATTACAAAAAAAAATCATATGCTTCAGGACCTTTTGGGGTTTGATTAAATACTGTAAACCACAGTATAATGTTGCTTACCAGCTAATTGCAGTTACTATTTTTACAGTTATTTGGCTTACTCTTTGTTTTTTGTCCCATGCCAGATTTCAGAAAAAATCTGACAGAAGTTCAAAGCAATTCTGTCTTTTAATATGTGGAAACAGAATCAGTCACACAGACTGGAATTGCTTTGTCTGTCAAAAAGACAATCTGGGTTGTGCTACAACATGGTTTATTTAACCACAGATTAGAGGAGAAATCAGCGATTCAGTTCAGGATTCTTAAACTTTTTTCTGAGCTCATTTATTTGTGGCTTTCCCTCATTGTCACTGACAGCTGAACACAAGCAATTTTACCATTTGCCCTGCTTATTAACTAAATTGTATCATATAAAAACTATGGTCCCCTAGAAATGCTCCCGGGCCCACACTCAGACCACTTCTAGTTTCTAGAAGTTACATATAGAAACAGATTCTACTTCATGTATAATGCTAAGTCATAAATTTTGGCTTATAAATCTGAGTCCACAGATTGTGCTAAGCCAAAAGCAAAACCACCTTAGTGTGAACCCAGCATACTGTCATTTCTGGGTTGCTCAATAAATCATGGCATATATGAATTCAAATAGTCAAAGGCCATGGTTCTGCATTGCTAAAATCTAAATCACAGCAACAAAGAAAGATTCAGCAGGGTTTCTCAAACTCTTGGCTATGACTCCTAGAAAAAAACAGCAAAGGAGGCAAGGAATTTGTGGCATATATAGCACATGACTGGCAGGAAGAAGCAGCTCATCCCAAGTGGGGGCCCATTGTTAGAAGTAGGAAGAGAGGGCACTACCAAGCTCACCATTTTGGGTTTCTCTAATTAAAACTCTGCCAGGTGATGCAGCACTGGAAGCCAAATGGCTTGCTCAAGACCAAGGTTTCAGCAGCCGCTTTCCCCACATGCAGCTGGTTCAGACATCTTTACTCAGCTGGCTGAAGGGCTTGGTCTGTGGAACCTCTAGAACTGCAATGTAAAAATCCCAAAGCTACTGCAGAAATGGTAATTCTGCCAACAGATATCAGTGTAGTTAGTGGCATCATTACTCATGGAGGTAATTACATACATTTTTGACATCAGGGGAGTCCCAGCACTGCAAATTTGGAGATCCTCTGAAATATAGAAAATTCTAAAGTTTTACTGCCATGGGCACTTAAGAGTTTTTCAAGCTTTTAGCTACCTTAAACATGAAAAAATGGCAGTCTGTACTTAGAATATTTTTGAATTGGCTTGTAGCATGGGGATATGCATGCTGAAATTGTTGTAAGTCATCTTAAAGGTTTGCCCATGCAGAAATATGGGATGTAATTTTAATAAGAAAAATAATAATACAGTGAAAAATCTATTCCACAATTTAAACTAGCCATAAATTGCACAGAATATCTACAGCAAATATTTAGTATATGAAGCGCAGTGTCTGGGTTTTAAAAGATTCAGTAGTAGAAGGCAGAAGGGTAGCTAGCATATCCTTCCTCATCAATTTTATTCAACTAGGAAGCAAATCTCATTCTGTAATCATATCCTGATTTTGGTTACAGACAGCCGTGTGCTTGTTGTGAGTGTGGTGGTTGTTATTTAAAAATCATTTTGGCTGGCTATGCCCTGCAAATGTAGCTAAGATACCGATTGCAGAACAGAGATATGTATAAATCTCTATCACAAAACAAAGCTCATGTGCACAGTTAGCACAGAACCTTTAACAATGTGAATTAGATTATTTTATCACCTGAGCCTGGATAGCAGTTACTTGGTTAGTTTTTGTATTGTAAAATTGATAGTGTTCAGAACCCTAAAACACTAGGGTTTTATTATTTCATTAAAGTTGGCACTTGGAGGGAATGTAATTCTCATCTGTATGTCACCATCACTGTCATATATACTATGGTGAAATTCTTGGAACTGTATAAACAAGTAAAGAAACCACAGAAACCAAAACTTGTGATTAATGAAGAATGAAGTAATATCATTTTCATGTTTAACAAAGCAGTAAAATGCTTTTACAGTTAACAGAAATGAACATTGATTTTAGTTACATTTTCACATCTTACCTGTGCAATTAATGTTTTGAGAGAAAGAAGGCGCCCTTGGCTTGCTGCTTCATGCAGGGGTGAGCGATCTGCCCAAGAGCCTATGGAACAATATCATGTCATAGTTTAAATTACATCGATAATTTTCATTAATATAAAAGAACTAATATAAATAATGTACTATACATAACTATGTGAATCACATTAAATGAACAAGCCTGTTCCCTGCTCTCCCCAATTCATTCATTAATTGAATACGTAGGTCGTTAAATGTGCATGGGATGCCTCAAAGGTGGGGAAGATCATGGGGGCCCTAGTACAGGAACAAGACCACTTGCCTCTGGCCACCCAAGGGCTTGCCCATCTATTGAGATACCTCATCCTTTGGGGTCCCCACAGCTGCTTGGGGTTTCTCCACACAAACACCTTATCATCAATCACTTACTTACCTTTCAAAGAGCTCCATAGCTCCAGAACAGGCTGGGCCACATGGCAGAAAAGGCCTTTTCCCCCCCCCAAATGCTGGTTTTCCTTAAATCTTGTGTTCTTACACACACTCATGTTTGTTCAGAAGACGGAATCGTCTATAAGAACATAAAATTTATTGCATCTCTGAAGACCTTGTCTGGTCCCAGCCTGGGTGGTGCGTAGGCACCATCTTGCGCACTGCTGGGCAGTTTGAATGAACTGCTTCGGGGATTGTGGTGCAAAGGTGGAGGCAGCAATCGATGCACGGCATTTTTCATGCTAGATTTGACTGGAGGAGGCAGGACTGCAAGGCGGATGGGTAGCTGTAGCAGGAGAGTGAGCCCGAGCAGCGGCACTGTCACTGGGGATGGCTGAGCACCTCACAATGAGCCAGGTGAGTGCAGTTGCTAAGCACCATGCCTGGGAGCTCTGTGCTGTCTGTTCTCACTCACCTCCTACTGTGTCTTGGGTACCAGAGCCTTGGGCGTACTCTCTGATCTGATGGACGGGTGCCCCCATAGCTGCCAGTATTGCCAGAAAAATCCTCTTACTCTGGGTAACTCCTACAGCCTGTAGGTGCTTCCCTGCCCAACTGATCTTCCCCAGAGTGTCCCCGGCAAGTGTAGGTTTGCTGGTGCACCAAGCTCTCTATCCATCTCCATGGTGGCCAGCATTTGAGAAAAAGACAGCTGCTTTTTTGTCACGTGGCCCAGTCTGTTCTGGAGCTCTAGAGATCTTTGAAAGTGAGGGACCGGTACCAGGTTAGGGAGGAGCACGTGGAACCCAGTGGGCTAGCAAAGCAGACTGTGGAGACTGGTGGGACAGGATGGGGGGGTCAATAGGCAAGGGGTATGTTGCAGTGTCTCTGTGGTCAGTTGTAAGGGCAAATACAATCCTTGGTGCTGCAACATACATAACTTAGGGACTGGGTTGTAAGTACTTTGGGGGGGTTGTCATAATTTTGAACTGTCACTAAGTGAGCTGTCATAAGGACCACCTATACTATGAAAGCTCCCATTGTCACTACCTTTAACTGGGTGAAACAGTGCATCATAGGACAACAATGTTTGAACCAAATACCTCCAAAGGGTTAATTTACATAATATATTTAAAATCTGGGACCTGTGACTCCCTAGGGAATAAAATTTGAGAATATTTGAGGTACTTGCTTCAAACATTGTTGCCCTGCTTCAGTGCTACTAACTGCTGCTGTGCTGCTGACCTGGTGCTGTGCTCACATCATTTCATTTTCATTATTCCATTTCCCAGCCAGTTTTGCAATCCTTCAATCCTTGCTCCATCTAGCAGCAGCTACTTATTTGCCTGCTAAAAAGGGAAGGGGAGAGGAAGGAAGGGGGGAAGGAAGGATGGATTTCTGATGCTCCCTGCCAGATCCCCACAAGGAAACTCAATGAGGAAGCTGGTGGGAAATTGGAAGTTGCTCCTGCTCCCACTGCTTTTTTGCGCAATCATTCTGTTTCTTTGTTTAGGGAAGGAAGAAAGAAACAATGACCTAATGGGCCATGGGTTGTTTAGTTCTTACTAAATCTAAATCTCATCCCTTGGTACACATCTGGTGAATCATTCTCTGAATAGGAAAAAATGGTAATGGTATCCCCCCCCCATTTATCCACACATGGAAATGCTTTCAAGTTGTAAACCTAAATATGAATGAAATATTAGAACTGAGCTGCAAGTTCCCTTAACTGCAAGTCAATTAATGGAATTCACTTAATATAGTGCTGTAGCCAGTGGGAAATGGGCCCTATTTCTTTTACCATATCAAAATACTGGTGTGTCTTTCAGCTCTTGCTCTATTGCGCAAACTAAACAATTCAATGCATGGGTTCAAAACATATTGGTAAACAACTGAAGAGAAATCCAGAAATACATATGAGCTTTCCAGTGTTCATTCCCTGCAGTAAATAAACTCTTCTGATTTAAATTAGATGTAGATGTGTACATAGTATTCTACCACAGGTTATGGTAAAAGGAACACTATACTATTTATGACAGAAAATGAAATATAAGCCACATATCTCGCAACAAATTATTGTGTGAGCAACAGACCCCAAGATGTATGGTTGCTATTTACAACTTCCTTCATCCATCCTCTGCAGAGAATTCATTACACTTTTGTGCCAATTTGTTTTGCTGCCAAATTAGCTTTAAGAGCTGCAGCATTGGGGAAAGTGTACCAAGCATATAAAGTGCCTGATTAGTATCCCTAAGGCATTCTGAGCTTGTACTGGTACTATTAATTTTGTTAAAAGCAGAATACTGCAGTCAAAAACGTTCTTAGTATTAGTTTTCATTTTCCCGTGCAAGACATATTGATTCACATCCTTGCTAACTTTGTTTCCTCCCATTCCTCCCTTTAAATGTACATGCTGTGCTTCTTAAAAAATTGTGGCATATGACATTATTGCAAAGCCATGACATTCATTCTCTCAATAGAATGAATCCAAAACTCTACACTGAACTAAGCCTCTGTGTCCATTATACTGGACTCTATTATAGCTATACTAAGAGCAAATATAGACTACTTAACATCTCACTTCAAAAGTACTCCCTGTGGGTCTCCTTTTCCTATTTATTAGAACTAAAGGTTATCTCCCATATTTTATATTGGATTTTAATCTACCTTGCAATAAGTACCCTGTTATGATTGCATTTGCAAAGAAAAGGGAATTGTAAAATGTTCATATAATTAATTTGAAAATACTGTAAGTTACTTCTTAGAGGAATGGTTTATCCTGCATTCCCCCTTTCTCCATTTAATTTCTACAGGCTATTGGAAAGGACACGAATATAAAACTGTACTCTTAACATTTTAAAACACCATACATAAGACGCCAAAACAATCATGATTTCTAAATTTCTAAGCCAAAGTCCAAGAAGAGACAGATTTTGTCAGTTATGTAATCAATTCTTGTAGTTTAATGATTGGTGGCAGAATTATAAGTACCCTAGAAGTAACAGAGATGTGATTTTATATATGAAAACCTTTCAGTACCGTACTTGACTTTATCAAGTTTTCACAGCATGGCATGCACTGTATAGTAATGGAAAGAGAATCAAGTTCCAATTCAGTCTAGCTCTTTAAATTTAAGGAAAAAATCTTACAGGTTAGTTGGAGAAAAAAATACAACTGCTAACATTTCCTTATGATTTTTTTCTCAGTGACTGAAATGCAAAGTACTAGTGGCTATATTTAGATTCTGCATTGCAAGTCATATGGTATCTAATTTACCAGGAACAAGAGCTACAGTTCTGTAAATATTGCAGAGATCAAAGTTAAAATGCTACCATAAACAGACAAAAATAAGGAAAGTTTTAACATTGTATACAGTACCTAAATCTCCATCTCCCCATGGCATTTCCAGCCAATTTTGACTATAAATCCTGCTCATTTTAAATAAGAAAAACTGTCTCTTTAGCTGATTCTTGTTAATAACACGTCAACCATATTTGGAAAGAGCTTCTTGCACTCAGTATAAAATGAACTTTCACCTGTAAAGACACTGCAGAAAACAAATATCCAAAGACCTAAGTTTAATAATATTTCAGCTTTCATTGCTAAATCCTGTATAGTAGAAATGCTATCTGCAACATTGCATATTTTAAAATATATACAGCATTTCATTTTATAATCAACTATGTGATCTAAATTATAATGATTTGAATTTGGTTATGAATTCAAATATCTTCTGTGAATTTATTAAGTAAATTTGCACAATAATCTCTTAATCTCATTTACATCTTTAAAAGAGAAAGATGTATTTTTTATACAACTTTGTAATAAAATAACTAATCATTACAGAAGTGAAATGTTTAATTAAAGTTAAACTTTGCAATATCATGTTATGAACTCATAGAATAGATCTCTATCATGTACTGTGAAAATGGTCACATGTAATTGGACAATAAACTCAATCAATTTCCTAAAAATGTCTGTTTGTGTAAAAGTATTTCTGAAAAATACTGTGCCCTCATATTATTACACAATCATTTGCAGTATTATCTTTAAATATTTTGTAAGAAATTACACTTAATTTCCTGATTTACACATAAACTATAATTTTTCTATACTTCAGAGATTAATTTATGCCTTTGTGGTAATTTATATGCTCTGTCTATGAAACATTATTTGTTTGAATAGACTTTTTTGACTATAATATCTGAAATGGTCTACAACCAGTCTAAGACAGCAGAGAGAAGGGCATTTTCCCTTCAATCCCTAAAAAATGGAAATGTATTTAGAATTTAAACAAAATTTAAGGGATGATAGAACTCCTTTTTTCTTTTTTTTGCTTTAAGTGACCTGATACTTCACCTGAACACAGATGAGTTAGTTTGTAATAACAAAATGGACATACTGCTTATAATCTTTAGGTTTTCATAGTAAAACCTCCCTTCTAAACTAGAGTCACTCTTGCTTCTCTTCTTTAGAGTTCTCCTTCCCAGGGAAATATTAAAAAATATTTGGTGACTAGAACTTAATTTTAATGTAGATTTTATTACAGACCTACAAAATAATAGTCCTGACATCTTTGGGAAGTTTTGCAACAGCATAAAGAATAATTATGAATGTGATAGAGCCATGGTTTTTCAATGGACTTTCAGAATGTTATTGACTAATCATTCAATCTCTTTTTTATTTTATTGACTGAATATATGTTAAAAGAGGAAAACATTACAAAAGCATTCTGAAAAATACTCCCAGTCCTACCCAGGTAACATTTTAAAGATACAGGAAATAATTGATGCTAATATTTAAATACATTTTGACCACATAAAATAATATTGATTAATGTACCTACTATGTTGACAAAGAGCAGGTCAGAAACATAATGCAATATATGTATTATGTATCAATGACAGCAGAAAAAGTCCCAGTGCTCCTCTGAGTCTGCCCTTTTTTGTTTTTGTTTATTCTTTATTTATATTTTGGGTCATCACACAATTTGTGTCTAATTAATTAATTAATTAGAACAATTAATCAGTGGAACAACTTGCTTCCAGAAGTTGTAAATGCTCCAACACTGGAAGTTTTTAAGAAGAGATTAGATAACCATTTATCTGAAGTGGTGTAGGATTTCCTGCCTAAGCAGAGGGTTGGACTAGAAGACCTCCAAGGTCCCTTCCAACTCTGTTATTCTATACATTCTATACAATCACCCAAACGATGCCCTTGAAGTGATGTCCCAGTGCCTGGAGGCTGTGCGGATCTGGATGGGGAGGAACAGGCTCAAGCTCAACCCTTCCAAGACTGAGTGGCTGTGGCTCCCGGCATCCCGATATATTCAGTTGACTCCATCACTGACTATTGGGGGTGAGTCTTTGGCCCCCACTGAAAGGGCTCGCAATCTGGGAGTCCTCCTGGATAGGCAGCTGTCTTTGGAGGAACATCTGACGGCTGTTACCAGGGGGACCTTTTATCAGGTTCGCCTGATTCGCCAGTTGCGGCCCTTTCTCAATCGGGATTCCCTGTGCACAGTCACTTACGCCCTCGTCACCTCTCGCCTTGACTACTGCAACGCTCTCTACATGGGGCTCCCCTTGAAGAGTACCCGGAGGCTCCAGCTGGTCCAGAATGCAGCAGCGCGGGTAGTGATGGGAGCAACATGGCGCTCCCATGTAACACCGCTCCTGTGCGAGCTGCACTGGCTCCCGGTGGTCTTCCGGGTGCGCTTCAAGGTGTTGGTTATCACCTTTAAAGCGCTCCATGGCATAGGGCCTAGCTATCTGCGAGACCGCCTGCTGCTACCGATGACCTCCCATCGACCCGTGTGCTCCCACCGAGAGGGCCTCCTCAGGGTGCCATCAGCCAAACAATGTAGGCTGGTGGCCCCCAGGGGGAGGGCCTTCTCTGTGGGGGCTCCCATCCTCTGGAATCAGTTGCCCCCAGAGATAAGGAGAATCCATGACCTCAATGCCTTCCGTCGTTCCCTGAAAACCCATCTTTTCCAGCAAGCCGGGTTGGCTTAAGAAGAAATTTTTAAATTCTTTTAATTAGTCTGTGATTTTTTAACTTTCGGGCCAAAATTTATATATATTTTTAAATGTTTTAATATTTGTATTCTATGTTTTTTATCTTGGCTGTACACCGCCCTGAGTCCTCAGGGAGAAGGGCGGTATATAAATTGGAAATTAAATTAAATTAAATTAAAATGTTCAGACTAGATTTGGCATTATGGTCTACTATCGAGTTCTTTCCAAGGACTTCGGATAGGCAGATCTGGATGTCTGATGGTGTTAAGATATTGTCGCAGGATGGAAGCTGTTCCGAGTAAAGCCATCTTTTGCAATTGATTGATGAAGTTTGTCAATGTTGATGGTGCTCAAGTGATGCTCCAGTTGTTTTGGGATTGCACTCAAGATGCCCACTACCATTGGTATTACACCTTTGCTTGCTTTTGCCACAGTTTTATTTCTTTTTGCAGTTCTTTGTACTTCGTTATCTTCTCTGGTTCTTTCTCTTCTATTCTGCTGTCTCCAGGTACTGTCCCATCCACTAGCCAGACTATTTCATCTTTGGTTCTAGGACTATATTTTCTCTGGTGCTGGATGGGATTGCATTGCTCCAAACAGACCCTATGCAAAATCTGGGGGTCCTCAAAATTCCTGTTCAAAGAAAAGGTGGCAGTTGTGGCTAGGAGGGCCTTCATATCATGTGCCACTTGTACCCATTTTTTACAACCTTCTCCAGAAAGGGAAGGTTAGCATCTGGACAGCAGCAATTCAGATAATGGAAGGTCTGCTGATGATCACTGTGTCCTTCAAAACCAGGGAAACAATCCTCTCCTTCAAAGAAACCAATACAATCAATAAGCCTATCAACTAGTCACCTTATTGGCTACGTAATAATCCAGAGGAACTAGACTCTAACAAACTGGTGTCTGAACTTACAGTTGGAAGGATATTGTCCACTTCATCATGAATGTGTGAGACTAGGCTGAAGCCACCATATCTAAAAGTGATGAAAGCATGTAAACAGGGTCAACAAAAGTCAGGAAAAGGTCCCTCAGGGGAAGGAACCGAGTCGTTAAGGAAACAAGGGGGCAAAACTTGGGCCTGAGCACATAGGAATGCCCTCCCCAAATCTCACCAACAGCTAAAAAACAAAGGAGTACATGAAAGGCCCCTCCTCATCACAAAGCAAGGATTTGGAGGGATAAAAGGGGTCCTAAAGCCTGCCCACTTTTTAAAGTCGTTTTTGGATCCAGACTTGGTGACTTCTATCCCTGGCAGCCTAGTGAGGGATGTTGGGTAAGTGTGTATGTGTGTGTGTGAAAGAGCAAAGATATATACTGTGTTTCCCCAAAAATAAGACCCTATCTTATATTTTTTTGAACCCTGAAATAAGCGCTTGGCCTTATTGCCATGTGCTCAAAAGCCCGATTGGGCTTATTATCAGGGGATGTCTTATTTTGGGAGAAACAGGGTATTAACCAGTAAAGTTGCTTTTATTTTAAATTCAATGGACCTCCGTGTATTCTAAAGAACCGTTTGTGCCTCAGTATTCAGTTGAAAATGATTTAAATGTGGCAATTTTCCAGGGCTGGATTGTGTAAGTGAATGCCCATAAACTGAACCTGAGAGGACATGTCTGTAACAAGTCACAGAATCAAATTGAGTCTAAATAACGTCCCAAGAATGCAACTCATTTGGATCTTTCTAGTGAAAGTCCTAGTACAATTCCAAGTGAATCCAAATGATTTTATCTGCCCAAATAGTGTGAGTGTTCCTAACCTTAGCCCTGTAGAAGATCCTGAGGCCAATCTTTCCCCAATAGGGAATGGATCATTATAAACAGAGCCCCTGAACAGTTATAAAAATGTGAAATAAGGATGGAGAAATAAAAAATTTGGCCACTTTATCCCCATGATGTAGGCCCAAACATGGACACTTGTGTTTGGTTGTCTTTCTGCAACAGTACTCTGATGCTCATCTCTTGGAGCTCTTCAGAAAACCAAGGTTGAAGCTCCCAATACTAGTAGTAATGGGGACTCCAGTACTACTACACAAAATCTGGGGTCTCAGTAAGGGGTTATGCTGAACAGCAGGTTGGACTGTACTGTTCTGTACTGTACTTAACTAAGATCTCCAGCTGGCAAACTACAGTTTGAGTAATCCCTCCAAAACAAAGATAGCAAATTGGGACCAAATTGTATTTTGCAATCATGATTTAATATTGGAGGGAGTGGAGGAAGAATCTGTGCATTTAGCTTTTTCCCAGCCCTTAAACTATGATTGAAGGACATTTCAGTGTCTTTACATTGCCTTATTATTTAGTTTATTCACTCTAAATGATCAAGTTACTGAAGTGAATGAATATAAAGTATTAAAATGAAAACATGTTTTTCTACCATATCTTAATCGGTGATAATGTAAAATATTAAAAACAACTTCTTTTGAGATGAAAAAATTACAATGCAATTCTATAAATATCAGTTAACAAATAATTTGAGTTCAGTGGCATTCTAGGTGAATTTGTGCAATTTTAACCATTCTTTGGATGAAAAGGAGTATCCATATTAATGTCTTAAATACAAAATAAATGTGATCTCTAAATTAAATATACTTCTACTCGAGATAGTAAAAGGAGTGTCTTTTATACATAGCCTTTACTTTAATGACAAAAAAGTAGTGGCAATACCTGATTATTGTAAGGAAGGTTTCTATCAAGAAAATGGCATAATGGAAAGGGTTAAAGCTGTTTTCCTTTGCAGGATAATACTTCTCTGGATCAAAATCTGCTTTTAAAATATAATCAGTCAGCTATATGGTTAACATATCTGGTTTTAATCCAAAATGAACAAAGTCTGCAATAATCTTTATATTTGGATAATGACTATACAATTTCAGAATATCTTAAATCAGTTCAGTTGGATTGTCAAATACAAGGAGGTAGATTTGTTGTTGATGATAAATATGCAAGCAATAATCAATGCAAGATGTATTGTTTATAAGAGGTTTCACAGTTCCATGTTGTAAGAATATTTTAGAGAATAGATACTGACTCATTTCTGCAATTATATTTACCAGCAGTGCTTCTTTTCATTTGCACATAGATATGTATATTTATTACTATATTTCTCCACCCTTCTTCCCTCTAAATATTACTTGGCAATCTTACTTAGGTATATTATATATTAATGCACATGCACATAAACACACACAAATATACATTTTGCCTATTGCAAAACCATCTCATATAAAATGCACATGGCTTGTTTTTAAATAGTCTACTAAAATTGCACAAAAGCATTTGTCCTAACATACACAATAAAAAATCATATTTACATTGAAATTTTACTTGAGTCTTAACAAAAAGTGGACATGCCAGCAAACACTAGTTTCCTACAAGCTGCTGAAACAATGAGTTTACTAACCTTGACTGGTGAGAATGCCCCAGTTAGCCTTCCGTTTCACAGGGCGCTCTTCTGTGCAGTCTAGGTTTCTCTTTGAGAGATTCTGTTTAATGCTGCTCCTCTCAACAACAGCATCTGTGGACATTTTTTTTAAACTCCTGCCAAGGCCTGTGTCATCAACGCTATTCCCTGTAGAACATTCATAATCTGCTAACTAATTTCTTTCTTCCTTGACATTCTGGCTGTACTTATTTTAGAATAGCTTTCCGTAGAACAGTCACTACAGTTAAACCCATTCAGCAACATTTACTAACAGAACAGGCAGCTAGAGTGAGGGAAAGAAAAGATTGCATTGGCATGTTCTATTTATAAAGTAAGAAAAAATCAGCTTAGCTATGACATGGGTCTGTTTACATTATTTAAATGGAAGACTCTCTTGGATTTTTATTCAAAGCTGTGCTAGAAACAGTGTCCCATGATGACCCTAATAAAGACCTATCTAATCCCAAATAGCCTTTGGAAAAAATGGGATTACCACCCCCCTCCCCAATCTAAATACATGTTTGTATACAGTACAGAGATACTGAGCTTCCAACAGTCCCTTAACACTTGGTTATGCCAGCAAGGCTGGGGACCCCAGGGGATGTTGAACTTGTAATGTAGCTCTATTATTAACATCTCTTGACTTATCATTTTTCTGTTTGTTCTATTTTTTTATAGTTTTAATAGATTCATAATTAATAATAAACATTTTTATATTTATGCGGTTTTAGCTTTGTTGTACACTACCCAGTTGCTTTTGATGAGATAAGCATCTAGGATGAATAGATGGATGGATGGATGAAGGTAGGTATGTGAGAAGAATGGATCCACTATCTTTTCCTTGAACTTGTTGCTGTTGGAAACAACTGGTATGTAGATTTTCTGACTATTGTCTTGTTTTCAACCTATCTCAAATATTACATGTATTTAAAATATATTTTAAAACACATCCTTATCCTGGATGGTCAGAGGGACTTAAAGGATATATGCATATTTGTAATGCCAACATTAGAAGAGACTCTTCTGATTAAATGAAATGATTTATATACTACAATCCCAAATTTTCTAATTTCCCAACAGAATGTCAGGTACACTGTTATACTGCTCACTGACTTTAGATGAGGGTGAAGTAAAACAGTAATTAGGAGCAGAGGAAGCTTCAGAAACTGGGCTGTTTGACTGACATGCTCTATTTGCCTGAGCCAGCCAATCACCAGGGCTCTTTGCCTGCTCTCCACCTTGTATTACTTAGCAACCACTTCTCTCTTAGCAGAACCACATGTGTGTGTAGCATGTTACCCTTTGTAAGAAAATTGATTCTTTTGCAAATAAGTGTAAAAATCTATTTTTACCATGTATTTAAAATGAATAAATGTTTTTGGAATAGGTAGACAGACTTCAAATGTTAAATTCATGTCTACATTCCAACAGCCAGAGCCAAAGGTCAATACGGTGTTTAGGAAAGAAAAGCAGACATATGTTTAAAATTAAGGAATATGGCATCTCTGCAGTGCATCATAGCCTAGGAATTTTCCATAGCAGTTCTTTTTGTAGTTTTCTTTTGTAGTTCTTTCTCGTAAACACTCCCTTCTATTTTTTATTACAGCATATAGGGGCGACACTTATTTTTATTATATTTAGAACAACCAGGACTCAGAAGTAATAAGTAATCTAGTTTAAATAACTCTTGAGATCTACTAATAGATTCCAATCTATCTCTTGCCCTCCATTCTTCTCAAATACACACATAATGCTTAGTTTTGAATAATATGTGGCATGCATTTGCACTATATGTAGGACAAATTATTGTTTGTTTAAAGCATTTATACTGCACACTTAGTTACACATTAATAGACAAATTTAAAGATCTAATTTACCATCAGACAAGTCAGACCCATGCAACCAGGACAGCCTGGGGTAATACAGCTATGGTTGTTTCCATAGATTTTCACTGCACCACCTTTTTTGCCTCCAAACATGGAGGAAGCAAGAAGTATAAAATATGGGAAATATCATCTTATTTCTCTTATACAAAAAAGGAAAGAAAAAAACCTAAACGGCAATTTAAACTCAGGCACACATTTAATCTAGGGAGCATTAGGACATTTAATATATGTGGCCAGATCAGAGGTGGCTCCTACTTACCTTTACTACTGGTTTGCAACGGGAGCGTGCGCGCTTCTGCGCACGCGCAGATCACAAATATGATGTCAGGGCTGGTGGGCGGAGCCTCCCGATTTTACTACTGGTTCTCAAGAACCGGACAGAACCGGGAGCAACCACCAGTGGGCCAGATGATACTTTCCTGGGCATAACCTGGCATAATAATTGTCTGATTGAAAGTGTTAGGCTGTCCTAATCATCTTGTCACAGTATAAACTCCAAGACACAAACTGGCACCAAAATGGTACATTTAAAATAGTGTATGCTTTATTACAAAACACAGCAGCAAAAAAAAACCCACAAAAAACCACAGATGGGTGTCTCATTTGCAGAAAGGGTTTGAAGTTCATTAGCACAGGACATAAAGGGACTATAGATAGGTTCCTCAAGAATGGAGACAGAGCTTCTGGAAAAATAGTTGTGAGATGAATCATAAGAGGCTTTGTACACATCCAAAATTATTTAACATAAATTAACACTCTTTCCCATTGGCTCCTTACTACCTATGGAACAGGGGTGGGTTCTACTTACCTTTACTACCGGTTCACATTGTGCCTCCGCGCTCGCTTCACTCATCCGCACACGCTTTTCTGTGCATGCGCAGATCACCTATGATGACGTCCGGGTCAGTGGGCGGAGCCTCCCACCGGTTTTACTACCAGTTCTTGCAAACAGTCCAAACTGGTGGCAACCCACCACTGCTATGGAAGCCAGAATAGGTTGAATTTATTCAGCCACTCCAACCTGGAGGGGGCTGTGTTTTGGGCTGTGTTTTCTTTCTCACTATCATGTTGCTCTCAGAAAGGCTCAAGAGAAATATCTAGCAAGGTCCTGTTTTACTTGAGGGAGGAGGAAGGAGATGTGTTTTCTCAAGCTATAAAACCTACTATATCTCTTGGGCTTCCTTCCTAGAGGTAGAACATACTAGGATACAATCATTTTTCTGTGTGTGTGTACTGATTTAATAGAAACTTGCTTCTAGAGACTTGCCTATGCAGAGGTGGCCATTACAATCAAATTTAAAATCTTAAGTGAGACAATAAAAAAAGAAAACAGAACTAAGGAGAAAAAACAAAAGCAAAAATTATCCTGTATAAATTCTCGGTATTAAGATAAAACTGACAACAGCTAGCTATAATTTTAATGCTATCATTCCAATGCTGCCAGCAATTGGTCTCACCATGATGAGAAAGGAAAAAGCTAATGGTTTGCTTAATGAACCCAGTGTTTGCTTTACAATAGCAGTATTCTCTTAACAACCACCACGAAAAAGATGATAAAATTGGGCGCCATCATGCTTTATGATTGTCATTACTGTACCACTGAAACTACATTTGATTTGATTTGAATGATTTGAGGTAATCTATTGACCATCTTAAGGGACATGGTGGCTTAGTGGGTAGGACGCTGAGCTTGTCGATTGAAAGGTTGGCAGTTCAGCAGCTCGAATCCCGAGTGCCGCGTAACGGGGTGAGCTCCCGTTACTTGCCCTAGCTTCTGCCAACCTAGCAGTTCGAAAGCACGTAAAAAATGCAAGTAGAAAAATAGGGACCACCTTTGGTGAGAAGGTAACAGTGTTCCGTGCGCCTTTGGCGTTTAGTCATGTCGGCCACATGACCACAGAGATGTCTTCGGACAGCGCTGGCTCTTCGGCTTTGAAATGGAGATGAGCACCGCTCCCTAGAGTCAGGAACGACTAGCACATACGTGTGAGGAGAATCTTTACCTTACCCTTATTGACCATCTTGCAGCCTATTCTATTTCACAGGGTAAAAATATGAAAAGAGAATAAAACTGGAGGGTAACTGTTAAAACTGGAGGAGGAGTACAATATGCTCTAGGGATCAGCCTCCCAGTTGTGTAGGCTGCCTGAGCACCTTGACTCCATCTGTAGAGCTTTTGATGTCCTTCTTGTCATGGTTAGATCACATCCTGATTACTATGGGATTTTCTGGTGCCACTACCCACTGAAGGTAAGCTAGACCTATTAGTTTGATCCACCTGCAGCTACTGATGGATCTGGATTTCAGAGGGAGCTGGGGTTGTTCCTGTTGGTCTGTTGCATGATCTATCCAAGGCCTTAATGGCTGCATGGAAAGGGGGAGGAGGCAGTGGAGGCTTTTGATCAGATCCTTATGTGACCTTTTCCCTCTTGTGGAACAGATCCCTCCTTGTGATTTACAGAGGAACTGAGGAAGTTGAAGCAATACAAGAGACATCTAGAGCATTGCTGGTGATCTACAAGGGATGAACTTGGCCATACATGGGTTATTGCCATGATTAAGGCTTTCACCTAGAGTGTTAGGAATGGTGAAGTGCCATTACTTTTCTGCCCTTATTGCATTGATGGCTAGCTGTCCTACACTCCTGTTTCAGCTGACACAGTCTCTCTTGGATAAAAGAACTCAAAGAATCCTTTGTAGGGCCATGTGTAAGAATCTGTCAGATAAAGTTTCTCAAATTTTCTCACAATTGGATGCCAGCCTTGTTATAGCTCCAAAGCTATAAAAAATGGACAAAGCCTTATCAAATTATCTGAACCTGTTGGCCCTGATAAAGTGGACAGAGGACTGTGAGTTAGATCAATGCCCCTCCTGACTTGTTAAAGCAAGCTGGGGGGTAGTATGTAAGCTCTAGTGGTAGAAAACTCTTGAGTGAAGAGTTGATCCTTTGCCTCTTAAGAAGGTCTTGGTCGACCCCTTTCTCAGGAAGCCATTGCTGGACCCAAAAATACTTGATAATTTGGATGATCACTGGCATGCATGGGACATGTTAGACTGGCACCATTGCCCCAGACCTTCCAAAGGTCCTTCAATACCTTATTACACTAGCAAGCCAGGTGAACCCAGGGAACTAATGAACTAGTGAGGTGGCTCCATTATTATTAACATTCCTTTGTCCATTATTTCTTTTTAGATATCTTTTATAGTTTTTAATGTTAATTATCATCATCAGTGCCTTGGAAGATCTGCATAATAGTACACTGGAAGACCTGCAAGAAATACCATTTGCCTGCAAGCAAGAACTGGTGGGACCATAAAATAGAGAAAGTCATAGAAAATGAAAAAAACTAAATTGCTCTGGGACTTTAGAATTCAAACAGACAGGCACTGTCAATAAGAAAGACAAAAAAGTCTGGATAGTAGACATGGCAATATGTGGAGAAAGGAAAATAGAAGATAAAGAACTGGAGAAGATAACAAAATACAAAGACTTGCAAATAGAAATGGAACAACTGTGGCAGTAGTAGCCATCTTGGGTGCAATCCCAAAACATCTGGAGCACCATTTGGACACTACGGGCATTGACAAATTCACCACCAGTCAATTACAAAAGACAGCTTTACTCAGAACAGCTTACATCCTGGTATGATATAACATTATCAAACATCCAAGATCTGCCTATTCGAGATCCTTGGAAAGGACAGGTAGACAAAAATACCAAATCCAGTCTGAACATCTGACTGACTGTGCAACAAACAACAACCACAATAATAATTGGAGACTTTGCCAGAAGTTTGGGTTCAAATGCAGCAAAAAGTTCTGAGAATACCAAGTTGACAAAGTTCTTGAAAATGAACAGGTCAAGATCTTGTGGAATTTTGAATCCAAACAGAGACATCTGGCCCACAACATGCTTGACCTCACTATTGTGGAAAAGAAAAAAGTCTGGTTCATTGATATTGCAATACCAGGTGATGCACGAA